CCCCCCAGGACTAGCAATGCCGTGGTAGTCTACTCAGATTCAGGAACCAAAATGCCAAAACGCATTTCTTCACATAACATCACAGGTGACGCACCGGACAGCCGTGCTTTCGTTTTCGTACCTCAATCCTGCATACACCCATGCAAACTGCACTTCTCTCACTCCTCTCTGTAAAAACGATTCCGCGAAATGCATTTGTTTCGGGTGCTCTGCCTGAAGGAGGGGACGAGGGCGAGAGCGACGGTCTCTGCCATCAAGGAGGATTTGAAAAGATTAATACCGCGTGCACAGATGTGAAAATCTCTGCTATTTACTGGAAATAGGCGTTCTTTGGACAAGTCGTAAAGCTGAATGCAGAAGCCACTACTCCTCTAACGGGATATAACACATTCTGCTTGCATTACTCGCAAAACGAATATATTTAATTCGCAAAAACTAAAACTTCGGGCGCTCCTACTTCTACTCACAAGGACGGCGAATCGTCTGTCTTTCTCCGCATTTTTAAAAGCAGGGCTACATCTTTACTCTTCAAGGATACTTTGTAAATAAGCTTTTCACTGCCCCCCTCTTTCTCCTTCAGCCTGCTTCATCGCACTTCTAATTGGCGAGATGAGGGGCGCTGGATTTTTATGCAGGGTCTGATTGGACACCAGCTGTGTCAGTTCGACGAGCCGCTCTTTTGCAAACAGAGTTTCGGCCATTGACGCCCGACACAGAGAGGACCGAACCTTGCGCGTCTGGAAGCTCAGAGCACCAGCGTGCGACGTCAAACATGCAGTAATGTCTTAAAGACACAGTCGTGCTTGGAGCTGCTGGGCTCTTTGCGCCCCTGCTAGGTCAATTACAATACACAGCAAAACTAAACAAAAAAATCGTGATTAGCAAACGGCAATGAGATCCAGCTTATTAATATTTCCTATTATTTAGCAGTAGACGGTCTGCTCTAGACGGTAGCGGCGATCTGGAGTCTAACCAGAGCACACAAATGAGCATGCAAGGGCAGAAACACCCGTTAATCCAGGTAGAATTTCTTGTGAAGGTGGGGAGAAAACCAACACAGAGGCCAGCCTAGTCCGGAACCAGCCTGGTACCCAAGAGCTGTGAGACCAGCTGCGCTAATTGAAAGGCGTCGTGCCGCTTGCGAGCCTTTTAAATACTTAAACGTCTGAAACAATACACGCAAGTGTTAGTCTACACATACTGAACTTTTGCTTCGAAAAGCACTTCTTATATAGGTCCGCGTACATTACTGCATCTGTGTCTGAGTGAATACTGACTTGCAGTTCCTAAAAATCAGACATCTGTAAAAGCTTGAACCAGCGAATGGGCGATATTAAACGCCAGTGTCAGTGTCAATTTCAAATCACGCTTTTCCGCTTGCCATTTTGTGAGGATCTGTAGTCGTGTACAGGTAACACTACTGCAGCTATGGTTTTGTTCCTTGTTTGGAAATCACTTCATCACACTCAAAAAATAGAGATGAGACTCCAGAATATTTTGGGGCTCTGCTTACTTCAGCTCACATCTGTAATTTAAAATGAGAGAGCTGGCGATTTCCAATTTCTACTCTAATATGTAAAGTATGTAATCTCCCATTGATAGCCGTTTTGGGGCTGTGTGAGACTTTAGCGTGATGTTAATTGTCTGTTTCAGTTACCCCTTATTTGCCGTAACTAAAACATTTTGTTGTCTGTAAGACCCGTAATTAAGGGTTTTCCAATAAAGCTGCTTTAAAAAGCTAGTATTTCAAGGGTCAGTGTCTAGCAAATAACAGCTCAATGTGCTGTAGCACAGCTCCGACGAGAATATTATTTGGTTATAACACCTTTTTTCTTGTCGTTTTATCAAGGCACTTTAGAAAGTGTTACACTGTTATTTTTTGCCATGTTGGTTTGTCAGAGATACCCTACTGTAAATATACTGAAAATGTGTCCACATTACAGCTTGACAGTAAAGTTCTCATTATAAAAAGATGTTTCTAAGGGGAGTTATTTGAATATTCCCCAAGTACTCAATGAACAAAAGAAACAGAATCTCATAAGTCAGTGTGTAACAGGTACAGTTATGCACCCTTGCATATATATCAAATGTATCCTGTATGGTGAGGTTTGAGACTTCAGCCAAGATAAAAAAGAAATAAAATCCTCCCTAAAAAACAAAGGATAGGTGAGAGAGCTGATAAAGGATTTGTGACAGTAATTAGCAAAAAATAAAGCCATAAAGCTTTGCATGTACTGTACAGCACTCAGTTGTGTATAAACACTGAGAGCTGAAGTCAGCACTCTGACTGTTCCAGCAATTAGATCCTGCAATTGTTCTCTCTCCCCCCAGTGAATCGCATTGTTTGAGATAAGCAGATACAAGCCCTCCTGGTTTTGTCTTTCGGAGACAATGGTGTTGCATAATGGGATGCTGTGTTGCTGTCCTGAGCACCAATCAGGTGGGGCCGTTGGGGTCGTGTGATCTGCAGGGCGGTTGCACCCAGTGCCCCCTTCTGGCTCACCCCTGCAGGTGTAGGAAGAAAGCCTCCGTGAGGGGATACAGGCAGCCCCGAGCCCTTCGAAGAAACTCCTGTTCTCATGCTACTTCTCAATCCCCAGGTATGCCGGAGTGGTTTGGAGGCATTGTGCGGAGTGCCTACCATGCACAGTTCATTTGTCACAATGCAACAGTTTCTATTACCTGCTTTGGCTTGATGGGCCTTGTAGTGCACATTCCCCATGTCATTTTTACATTGCATGCACTCACTAAAGTGCAGAGTCACAGTTTACTCTGGCTGATCAATGAATAGCAGATGGACCCTGAGAGCCATACAGTATTTACTATGTTTACCATATAGGTAAATATATGTATATATGTGGCCAAAGGTCCCATGTTCCTTCAGATTGACTCCACCTGCACAGGGCAATGTTTGCTCATGACTAGCAATGTTTAGCTAGAAACCTTAAAAACTTTTGACCAGATCATTTCTCAGCAACAAAAGCTGTACCACCAAAGCTAGTTTTCTCATTATTTTTCCAGTTATTTGCTCCCATCCCCAGAGGCTTTTTTCAAGTTATTTATATATATATATTTTCCAAAGCAATTTGTTTCTGGCACATGTAAAAACAAGTTGGCTGGGCTTTAAAGAAGCTCTTAAGAGCTCCAAACCCATTAAGCTGTTCTACTGAGTGGTCACCTCCGGTGACACACTTTGTATATCAGTGTTGCAAACCTTTAAGTCCTTTTAAAGACAATTACAGTTAACAGTTTGAAGGATTATTGGACTGGTGAGCCAGCTCCATTCCATTCCAGCACTCTGCAACAAGCCAGACTTCCTGAGTGCTCAGTACTGTGGATGGGTATTCCTACAGGCCTGAGCTCCTTGGCTCTTGACTAATACACGCAGTCGTAGTTTCGCTCAGCAAACGCTGGCTCTGAAAGCACATGAAAAGCAGTTCTTTTGGTCTTGATGATCGTAAAGGGTTCAGTCTTAACCCCCGTCTTGAAAAAAAAAACACTGATCTCACTCATCTCTCCACTGGCATTGATCCTTGGCAATCAAAGCCACGAAAAATGTCCCATCACATCACTTTCAATAGCCACTTATCCAATTTAAGGTCATGGTGGGTTGTAGCCTATCCCAAGTAGTATTGGGCGCAAGGCAGGATACACCCTGGATGGGATGCCAGTCTACTATCAGATGTCTAAAGGGTACATCCGTGTAACTGAGAATGTGAATGCTTCATTGCCGTGGCTATAATCAGAAGATGCTGTCAGGGAGCACAGTATGACCTCACAGTTTCCTAGGAAAGAATCTGTCACATTCGTAAACCCCTCCTCTTAAGGACGCTCCAGCCCTTCCTTGTTTTCTACTCATCCCCCGCACCTACTCCCTGTTCCAGCCCCCTTTTCAGGTCTCCTTAAAAGCCAGGTGCTCACTCTATTCCGGGCTCTGCCTTGGCTTCCATACCAGGCAAGTCCGGGACCTGGAAGCGCCTGGTTCCGTCAAGTTTTTAGTCCCCGTCCCCGTCCCCGTCCCCAACTCGGTTCCTGTTTTTAACCCCGTTTGTCATGGATAGACCGCCCGGCTTTGGACTTTTGCCTCCTTTTGGATTCTCCCTTGGACTCAGTTCTGGACTGTTTGCCTCGACCACACCTTCCCCGAACACCAGCGCACCATGGACACGCCCCGTTTTCATTCCCGACTCCCGCATGCTTTTCCCCCCATGTTTTCCTCACTCATCCCCGGATTGTGTCGTCTGCATAGGGTCCAGAAAGAACGCTTTCGTGACAGAATTCAATGGCTGAATTTAACACATCCACAAAAAAGACAAGTCGATGGCTGTTCTACTCCACCAGCCCCTTCTTCTTTATGGCACTTTCAAAGAACCAGTCGAGCTCAAACTCAGTGGCTGATTTTATCATCAAGTGGGGAAGACACTGCCAAGAGTGTCAAACTTTTTATCCTGCAAAAGATCTAAAACTCAAGCTCTTACTCTGAGCAACGTCCACCTGCTATGAAATTTATGAGAACTTTTTTAGTGTACTTGGACCTGTATTTGCCATTTGAGTTTCTATCTGTGATGGTAACTTGCAGTTCGAAATTGATAGAAGAGAGAACTAGTTTAAAACGGAAGTTATTTCCTCACCTGGGTTTGGTGTGGTTGTCTTTACAATGAAAATCCCCTACTGGATAATACGGCCTACACAACACGTGCAAGAAATGTGTGAGTGAAATTCTCAGACCCATTCTAAAGATTTCACAGGCATTGGGCAGTTTTAAGCCATATGGATCCTCCATTGTTAATAAAAGCACACCCTCAGACCTTGAACCTTGTCAAGAGCTCCTCAAACGTGCGTGTGTTTGATTCGCCTGTGTTTGTGCTCTGCAGTGGGCGTGAAACATCAACTTTGTTTACAAATGGGATGTTTGGATCTCGCGGCAGCAAAGGTTTGGATACCCATTAAAAAACATAACCGACAGCACCAATCCATCATCACCTCAGCTTAACATGAGGTCCCTAATATAGAATATCTGATCAACCAACACCTGGCAAAATCGAAGAGGCAATAACCAGCCATGTATTCCATTCAAAACACGACAAGCACAGTATAGTTTTTTTTATGTTTCCTTTTGACTGTAGCATAAATTTCTGTTCTACAAATAACTTGTATGATATTAATATTAAAGAAATATTTAAAGGGACAGTCTTCTCTGGGTGGGGCTATTTGGATGGCAGCTCGATTTGTCCCGCCCTGTTTCCAACATGGGTGATAAACAGAGGGGAAAAAAGGGTCTTCTGTGTTTTGTTGTTAGTAATGTGTCAGATGTCATGGCAACCGAGCAGCTCCCCTCCCCTGATTGGCCAGGATGCTAGGATGGTACATCCACGTTGCAGAGAGAACTGCTGAGTGGACCCTCCCTTTTAAACCCCTCAGAGTTCATGGCCTCCCATTATTTAGCAGATTTGTTTTTGCATCCTGGCTGAACCTTCTAGCGTGAGAGCAGAAACTCCATTTGGATCTTATATGTACCTTTGCAAGGACGCCAGGGGTATAACCTAACAAATGTGTGGGGTCAACTGGTGAGTGCCATTCCTCAGTTTCATGTTCTTCCAAACGGTGGGGGTTCAGATGTGTAAATCTTTACTGGTTTGGTGGTGGGCAGGTGTTGTGGTGTTGTGCAGAGAGTTGTTAGTTGGTGGGAGGCAAAAAAGTATTCTAATTAAAGCGTGCAAAGTAGAATATGTACTGTTCAATGTCAAGCTAAGTGAACTCATCCAGGACACTTACACAAATTTCAGTGTTAGACTTGAGATTTGTTTCCTAAACATGTATTTTTTTCCTGCGTAAGTAGTCGTGTGCGCTTGTTGACAGAGAAATGTAAAGAGACTTTGCATACGGTATTTACAATTGAAATATGTAAATATGTCACCAGTAAAGTATCAGTAGTGTTCCCTGTATAACAAGAGATACGATGCTGTTAAGACAGTAAAAGATGAATTTGCAAAATGCTGGGCAATTAATGTATTGATGAGGACGGTTGGATTTTGAGATTATAAAATCATTATATATGTTGACTGGTGTTTACCGGTGGTCAGGAGGGTTTTTTTTTAAATACACATAAAATGGGTTTCCTAGCATAACCAGATCATATTTTAAGCCTGGTGTTACAGGAAAACATAACACCTTTGGAAAGTGTGCAATCTTACTGCTAACTACAGCAGAGCTAACCAGGGAGAGGAATGACGAGATTACCTGCTCACAGCTCAAGACTGGAGTGATTGGCCAGGAGTAACAGGTCAAAGGTTAGAAAGAGGTCAAGGGCTCATGCAGACTCAAATTACAAATGTTTCAAAATTAAGAGGATCTGGCAGCAAATTAATGAGTAAATTATGTTTAAATAATATTTGAAAACTTAGAGTATTTACCAGATGAATGAGGAATGGTATTGACACACCTGATAGTTTCATGTACTGTGTATTAAAGTGTAAAAAAAAGCCACCTAAGTTTTTTTATCAAGAAAACTCTGTTTTTTTTATTAAGTCCAGTTCTTAAAGTGCAGTTCATGTTCCATTGAGAAACCCTTTGTATAAAATGAATATAGTGGGTTTTGCTTTGTAAAATTACTCCTTTCACCTGGGGTACAGATATAGACATCAGAAACTGTACTGGGGAAGAGGAGATCCAAACAGCTATACCTCAGATCTCCACAAGAGGTCGTCATATTTCTGAAGCTGTACAAAAAGCACAGAGCTCTCTGTGCAAACCATACCACAGACTCGGATCAGGGACAGGTCTTGCTGTTTCACAATGAACAGGACACTAAAGAAGACAAGAGCTCCAGGTCATCTGTGACTTAATTCCTCCACTCTGATTTTAATTCAGATGGGAGGCCAGCCTGCCTGAAAACCCAGATTCACCTAATAAAACTGAAAGCCTCACAAGAAGAGAACTTGTGACCCAAAGTGCCCCATGTGCTCCTGGATGGCGCACCCCAGTAAAAGGCCAGAACTGAACAATAGTGTGTTCAGTATATTAACATGGACATCCCCAACACAATGGCTTCAGCAAGGCCCTCACGGATCTAAACATTGCTAGATTTCTCTCTGGCCAGTTGCACTGTGCTCAAACAGCAAAAGTCAAACAATTGAAGGTTTTATATTTTCCAACGTACTCAGCATTCATAATTCCGAGGGCTGAGGGCAATGGACGTATATAAAAAAACAAAGCCAAACACCAGCTCTCCCAGTCCTATAGCTGAAAACTGAAATGCTGTAATCTAAAGGTATCACCATTTAGGAAGCTATTCTGTAGGTGTTGCTGGTGGAATTATTGCTCCATTATTAGCAGAAGAGAGCAATGCTGAACAATGTGAGGCCATCAAAACAAATCTTGCTAGATAAGAATGGGTTTTAAAAAGAGATCAAGGGGTGAGTCTGAAAAAAGTTTGACAGATGTGCAGGGAAGAGAAGATAACCTGAATCCATTTAACAAGTAGGTTTTCCAAATGTGAACTGGCCTTGTCTAATCTTCCAGGGATCTGCGCAGTAGTCATGACATCTGACACTTGACCAACAGAACAAGACCTTCTCCGTTTATTATACATAATTCAGCCAGGCTGGGACTTCTTATTTAATACTAATGAAACAATTAATAGATATAAACAATTGCACAACATAAGAAAATTTGAGAATCCAGAAACAGTTGCCTGCAAAGTATGTTTGAAAATCCTTCCCTGAGAACTACGATTAGTTTTTCTGAAAACACCTTTATGTCTCTCAACTACAGTGGGCCTGGTTTAAGCACACAACTCAGCCAAGAGCATAGCCTTTACTCCTAGATGCTGTGGCTTAGATTCGCATTTGAATTGCCCTTTTTTCCATGATCACATACTTGTAGGCCAGTTAGAGAGCGTTCCCAGTGAAGGCTTTGAACGAGTGCTGAAAGATGGATAACATTCACAATGGTTGCAATGTTCTGGAGATTGCTTTGTCGAATTCCAGAACGGTAGAACAGTAAGAACAAAACAGACACAAAGAGCAACAATTCCTCCGGCTGCTTAAAGAAAATGATACAGGATGGATGTCATTGACTTTAGCAACAAGACTCCAAAGGACTGGGCCGACAGAAGAGTAAATTAAACAAGACCGCGAATGAGCGATAGCGCCATATCAGGTCTTGATAAGATGTGTTACCTGTACAGTTTCCGGTGTACTCTAAACCTGAGCAAAAGTAAAGTGGTGATAAATATGTATTGCAAAAACAATTATCCTGTTATCAGTAAAGTGTAAGAATAAACAGATGGGCAGTGTAAAAGTTTCCCTTTTCTGAGAAAGGATTTGTTTGATTAAGGTGACTGTCCAAATATCAAGAATATATAATAGGATGTACTTCACAGAAGGCGACAGTAACATGATATTCATGGGACGTAATTTTTGCAATCAGAAAATATCACGGGGGTGACGTGGTGCAACAGTGGCCAGCATTGCTCCCTCACTGCACTGGGGCCCCGGGTTCAATTCCAGACCGGGGGTGCTGTCTGCGTGGAGTTTGTGTGTTCTCTCCATGTGCGTGTGGGTTTCCTCTGGTTTCCTCCCAGAGTCCAAAAACATACTTGTCAGTGAGTTGGCTTGTGGGGAAATTGGCCCTGGTATGAGTGTGGGTATGTCTGCCCTGCAATGGGCTGTTGTCTGGACTACCCTGCTTGTGCCTTTCCTTGCTGGGATAGGCTCCATCCCCCCCACCACCCTGAAGCGGAAGAAGAGGTTAAAAAACAGATGGATGGGAAATACAACATTATTTTTTTATTTAGCAGTTTTTCAGTTACAATTACCATGTGTTGTTTCTATGTGTAATTAGGAGCATGTGATGAGATTAAGCACTATATATGTAAACAGAAGAAGTAAAGAAGTAATTATGATGATCTGGATTACCTAATGGCAACAATTAATGAATATTAAATCATTAGGAGAAATGCTTTTTGTCACTGTTCACCTGGCAGCGTGGCATTAAGAGGTACTGCAGATGTTTCTGAAGAGTTGCAGATCTGAATGCCTGGCTGTAATTTTTTAAAACGCTCTTTCTGGGGAACATACAGTATTGGAGGTTTTCCTAAACAAGGCCCTTGCAGAGCCAATCATTAACTTTCTGGTGCAAGATGATGGTATCATTTTTGAATTATGAAGCAAAAAGTGAGCAAATGACTAGTAAACACAATAGGGACCACCATACCTAACTTTTCTGTACAAGATGTCATCACAAAAATGCAGTGTGGATTATTTTATATGAGGTGGACATACTTAGCAGTTAAAAATTTAAGTTAAAGATTTTAAATATACAATGCATTTCGATACTTGTAAGGGTGTCATACAATAGCAAAGTACTGGCAAATAAACCTGCTATTTGTTTCCTCCAGAATCTTGCTTATGATCTTTGGACACCGATCCCAGGCTGCCCAGGATCGGTTCTGGCTGTTTAATTTAGAGATTAGACCTTTTTTAATTGTCCACTTTAATTGAAATCTCTGACATTACCAGAACTGAAAAACAATTCATGAAGTTCTAATTAGCAGAAGATTAGTTCAATCAGAGGGCCCTTTGCGTAACCAAGAGCTCAGCTGGAACAAGTACGCAAAGCAATCACAGGGACCCCGACACGGCCCACTGATCACTCACACAGGGTAGAACGGCAGGGTGCATCAGCAGTCAGTCACCTCTTGGGTTCTTCTCGCCCGGCAGGTTTCCCAAGGGGACGCTACTGAGAAGCTGGCTCACCAAGTCCCGGCCCAGGCTCCTGCTGCTGATCGCAGGGTTGAAGCGGCCTCAGGTCACCCTCATGAGGAGGAAAAGGATGAAGCGCACGAAAGTAGCAAAGGCCACGTAAGCGGTAAATAGCGGTTATTGGACATGCCAGGCTGAGCGAACCTTTGGATTGGACACTGGATTGCCCCCTTACTGTAAATACTCTCCAGGAATACCAAGGCTACCTTCTCCTTCCAGCATTTCACTTATTAATGTTGTAATTAACTGGGGCAGTGCGATGGCACAGTGGCTGTACCACTGTGGCCCTGGGCTCCATTCCAAACCTGGAGCGGTGTTTGTATGTTCTGGGAAAATGTGCCCTACGATGGACTGTTGTCCCATCCAGGGTGTATCCTGCCTTGTGCAGTGGCTTGCCGGGATAGACTCTGGCTCCCCCATGACCCTGGATTGGATAAAGTGGTTAGAAAGGGGATGGATGGATGTTCAGATGAAGACCAGACTAGACCACATATGTAGGTTCTGTATTATACTAATCAAGTGATCTGCTTTGTTCACCATTACTAGCAGATCCAGCTTTGTTATGTGTACTGTATTCCATAGTTTGGATCATTGGTGACAGTATCCTTTGGTTCCATCGGTTCCTTACAAAATTGCAAAATCCACCACATGTCAAAATCACTGGTTCAGTCCAGTAGTGGGTTTTAAAATGCTTTGTTGACAGTGCAACATGTCAAGGGATGCTCCCTTGTCATTTCATGCACAGCTCAGCAAATACGACTCATCAAGAGACAGATATACCTACATTATAATATCTGTTGTACATATAGTTTATTAACAAAGCACATTTAAGTCATGCTGAATATGATCGTTAAAACTTAATCACTGAAAAAGTCAACTGAATGAAAGTGTATAGATTCATATTTCAGCTGAACAACGTTGTTAACTGGTGGGTCCTTCAGCAGGCTCTGAACTTTTCAAATCACCACTGTATGGACAAACACAGGACTCCATAATCCACAACTGTATTTTTAACTAACACAAGGAAGGTCACAAATGAGTTACAAATTGCTCATGTTCTAACAAGATTTCAACTTGTACTGTTAGTTCGAAGCACTCTTATTTTAAGAGGCTGCTTGTGCCTGACATGGCTCTCACCCGCTGCAGAACTGGTGCAAACCTTTGACCTTTGGGCCATGTTGTCTTCAGCAGTGGAGCCTGATGTCAGGCAGCATGAAGTCTCATGGGCACTGCCCAGCATGGGTTTCAGCTCGCCTTCTTGACTGGTGCTCCAAGATCGTTGCAGATCTTGTGCACCGTAAAAACAAATTCTAGTAGGCGAACAATTGGTAGGAACATGCGCCCCCCAAAAAACTTTTTTTAGTTGCTCTGATGCTTCCATTTTGAAAAGCGTTTTTCTCATTCCTGTCTTTCAGAGTGTCCATCCGACTGCCGCATTTCCCTTGAGTTTCCGGCACTGAGGGGAGCAGGAACTGGGATAGAAATGGAAGACCAAGCCGCCACAGAGGCACTAAGTTTTCAAACTTATCAAAAACAACGAACTAAAAAAAAACAGCGGGGAAATTCCATGTTTCGGGAACAGAAATCAGACAGAAATTCATACAACTAGGTTATCGATACAGTGATTTGTACGCCATCTCTTAAATATACATTTATTATGGTTCATTATATTACATGAGTGTGATTGTAAATTATTTACATTTAGTTCTATCATTTTAATCATACAAAAGGAATTTCCCTGTAATCTCTGGTAATCTTTTCCGGTACTGGAATGTATGTTTCCACTGTCCTACGACGCTGTGTTTTCAAGACAGAATGAGTGTGAACGGTGAACAGTCCCACCCAGCTCTGTACGAGGTACTATCGTATTGGCTCCTCCCAGACTACTGCAGACTAGAACTGTGCCAGTGGCCGGATCTCTGGTGCCCATGCAGAAACCTTAATTCGATTTCTGCACTTCCTGGAATACCTGTTATGCAGCTTTTTGCTGCCTTCATCTTTCATCTTCCAGCTGAGTTTAATGACACTGGGGGGGGACAAAAGTCATACAAAGGCCAAGTGGCTTTAGAAAAGTAGTGGATTGCACACAGACTGGCATCTTAGTATTTATTTTGCTTTTACTACTTTATTTCTGAGCGGTTGTTTCTGCTTTTAGTAAATAGTTGCTCATCTGAGGTGCCAAAACGTTTCTTCTATATTAAAGAGCCACTGTTTTAGCTTAAAAGCAAACCGAATGTTGCCTCTCTTGAGGTAAGCATTCTGTCTGGAGATCTCCATGTCAAAGAAAAAAAAAACTTTCAAGGTGAAAGACATTAAAGACAGTGTAAAAAACTAGACCTAATTATATTAAGCCATTAGCGTGTTAGAGGCGTATCCAATTTGAATCTTTATCTGCTATTAATGTTATAATCTGTTTTTATACTTCTGGTGAAAATGTTATTACAGATATAGGTTTTTTTTTCATTTATTGTAACTCCACATTGTTATCTTTAAAAAAAATGCACTTGCACCTAGGCTACAGTAATCGGCAGTGAATATCAAAGCCCAACTTTTTTTTTCCTCTATGAAGTAAACAAAGTGCAGTTTTGTTGTATTCTATGCGTGTGAATTTTTTTTGCTTGTAATGCGCATAATATTTTAAAAGAGAAAACAGAAGTGACTGACAGTGACTAATGGAAACTAGTTTGTTTTTTTCCATTCCATTAATACGGAAACCTTAAAAAAAGATGGAAGAGGGAGAAAAACATTAAGAGTCTTGTGGTCTAGAAGAGTAAGCTTTGGTAGATAGCCTGCCTTCTGCGAATATAGTGCATAAGAAAGGATGTAGATTTGGCCAGAGGTATGCCATCTTTTAAAAGGGACATTTTTTCAAAAACCTGAACCGACGTGGGTGGTGTTACTTTGCTGTGAATTTCTGTTGGATGAGCTTGTATTTCAGCAGCTCTTGATCAGATACAGATGGCTGTAGGTTCTGTAGGGCATGGCGAAAGTCCTCCAGTGTCAGTAGAAGATCTGAATTTTCGGTGTCCAGACCTGAGACAAGATGGAAGAAAGAACGCGTAACAGTAATGATTAGGAGCTCGCATTCTCCAACAATTTTTAAAATTAATTTACTTATTTCAAGGGGCTTAGACAACACTTTGAATTGACAAGGCAATGGCTGCTTTCCCAGAAATTGTACCTGGGCTGTTACTAGGAATAGCTGAGGTTCCAAAGTTTTTATCCCTTTTTATCTAAGTCCTTTTCTCATCCTGTTACGTTTTCTCACACAAGCTAGTGTGCTCTCGGTGACATTTCACCAGCAGCAACATCAGGAAGTGACACAAGAGCTTCAGAACAAAACTGGCACTGCATTTTCTAAACATATCTGCAGTATAAAAGTTCAAACTGCAAGATGTAATGCAGGTATAGAATAAACACATATAATGACTCTTCCCCCATGAAAACAGTTTTCAGAAAATATAGTATTATAAATAAGATCTGTCCTTTAAATGCTTTACTTGAATTGTTAGCTTTGTCTAGGAAAACGTCCTTAATTGATTTTTAACAGAATGTATTTTTTATTTTAATAGAACTCCAAGCTTGGAAGATATCTGAACTTGCAAAAATGTAGGCTACAGAGACATCAGGGCAGAGTATACAAGGCAGCTGTAGTATTTCAATGCCATTCACACTTTTTGGACTTTCCAAAGACATCTGTAGCTTAAGCCAAACAAGAACAGAAAAGGTTTTTGAAAACCATTTTTCGAAATCGAGGTGGCCTGAGAGGAGTTTCTCTACAATAAGATTGTAAAGATAGTGAAAATGGGTAAGGTGTGCGTGAACTCTTGAAAGGGTTCCAGAATGCTGCACTTTTTAGACTGATGGAGAATCTGCTTTGTGCTCACCTCAAGTCTGCACCTAGATGGATAATGTACCTAAAGTAACTATTTCCTTATGCAATCATGCATCAGGAGCTGAATAAAAAAAAACCCACACACAACACAAAGCAAAGAGATGCCCTACAAAGTGATCGCAATTCTATGAAAATGATATTTTTAAATGCACAGTATAGTCCCTGGCCAATATATTAGTAATACCCACACCCCCTCCAACAAAGTATGTGTTGGGCCTCTGTTAGTAGAAACAATGGCTTGAAGGAGATGGGGCCTGTATTTTAAAAGAGTTTTAGACCAATCCCTTCCCATGATGAGGATAATGGTGTGTTGATCTGAGAATCTGTCCATGTTTTGATAACGAATCAGATCTGTAGAAGGCGGTTCCAGCCAGTGTGACAAGTGTAGCTCTCCCCGGATTTGATCCCGGTCACTAAAGGGCTCTGACCATGCTCCATGCCAAAACTTTAGGCAGAGGATAGCTCCGTCACACCAAAAGACCAGGTCCTGCGTCAAAGTTGCACTGCCTAGATTTCTGAAGGGGGTAATGTCACTTCTGTAACTCTCTCAGTCCAGAGCCCTGTCGCACCAGGAAAGGTGATGGAAGTCTGTCTCATGGTTCTTAACACTACTACACAATCATCTGGCACTCAAGAGTCTTCATTTGAGTCAGGATTTCCAATGTGTTGCATCATTCTTAACAAAAAACTGTTTTCTGACACATGATAAAACAAAACTCAGCTTGACGTCACTGGTGCAGACTGGAGGTGAAAAATCAATTTTGTTTAAATTATATGAACAAGAAGGGGAGGTGTGGACAAGACCACAGATGGCAGCAAAGGCCAGAAGGGACAATTAACTCCGGAAAGTTTACCAGTAGAAAGAATCAGTTTTCTACTGCTGCTGTGGTAAATAATATCGATAATAAAAATTAAAATGAGAAAAAAAGGCTTGTTATAGGTCCTTGAAACAGGGATCTGAAAATGCGAGATCTAGTCTAAAGGAACACTGAAGAGGGAGGAGCAATATTTGACAACGCAGTTAGGTGTGGAGTTTCTGGTAGGAAAATGATAGAAATACAGTGAATGTCTGAATGCGTTTTAGTAAGTGTGCAGGTGGGATTGTTGAAGGAGAGTTAAATAAAGGCTACTGATAAAATAATAGGGTGCTCTGAGCAGAGCATTTGGCTTGTTTTAGCAAGGTGTAAGGATAGACGTTTTAAAAAGGAAAACACGTAGTTTTTACCAGAGACACAAAAAAATCAAATCTTCTAGGTGAAAACAAAAGAGGTGGTTTACATATTGATTTTGGAAAGATGGCTAAATAACAGAAAGCAAAGAGATGGAGGAACATGACAGAGCAATAGAGGTGTAAAACAGAGGGGTGAGGTAACTGATAAGACTCTATGGTAGAAAATGCTTTTTAATGCTTCACAAGAAATGTTTTCAATTTATTTAAATGTAACATTGTATGACACAATTTTAAATAAAAATGACAGGAATTCAAAATGCCATATATATATATCATCTATCACCCTGTTTAAAAATGCATTGAATGTAAATGTCATTTCTAATTGTATGTGACCCTCAAATATGAGAAGGAAGAGGCAAAACATTCTCTTCTTAGCGCTTTGATTCAATGCAATATATGTCTATTAATGATAGCGATTCCCATGGGCCAAATCAAGCAGCTCTGTTCCTCTGGTAGAAGCAAAATGAGGCATTCAATTTTGAAAATCTTTTTTAAAAAAAAACAAAATGGAAAAAACAAAGGATGGACCTCACAATGATCTGGGACCAATGGCCAATGTTTTTTAACCACTGCTGTCATTCCATAACGGGTGCTCTTGTGAAGTGTACAGCGTTTAGTAAGCAGAGAGCTCTCTGAAACCCTTTAAATCCCCATCTCCAGGGCTACTAGATTTATATGGCTTTGGCTGCCCAGTCTGTGATGATCATGTTGAATGGCAGAAATGTTTTGACATTTCTTGGATGGGAATTTGCCCGGTGCTTGCTTTAACAAACACTACCCTACACAGCAATCAGTCTTTAAACTGATGGGAACACTTCATCTTAATAAAACTATTTGGGGATCTCTTATTATTAAAGATGGGGATTCTTTTCTGACCTGAAAAGCTTTTAACACTAAAATAAATTGAAGACTTGGAAAACACACTCATAAAACATTTTCATCACATTTACTGTCTTTTTTTTAATACGCAATGACCATCAGAATGCTTACATAAAACATACCAGACTGCAGTTTCAATGCTTCTTTTCAGTTTTGTCATAGATTGAGAGGCTGGTTTTCTTTTACCATGAAGCACACGTGAATGTGCTTCCCGAACGGGGCCTTATGCTTGAAGTCAAGGTACAAACCTTCATCAATCCTACTGATCTTCCGCTTGATGGCCGATGTCATGGCATCGGAGCACAGCGCGTACAAGTCCGCTCCCGTGAGCTGAGGAGGGCACCGCTCCGCGATATCCAGGAGGCTGACATTCGGATCCAGCTTGAACCTGCAAAGAATCAGAAGTGAAATCAGGGGGGAAAGCGAGCGAGCAGGGACTTTTCTGGGATCCAGATGCTGACCGATGCACAGAGGAGTCTCAGGCAGGCTCTGGTATGAACTGTGCCCCCCAGGCAACACCCTCCTCTGAACGAAACACAGAAGCAGCATCCTAGAGCAGGAGCCTGAGCTACACTTGTCCACCATAGGATACACAATACAAAAGATAAGCCGCCCTGACAATGGTAAATAGAGGGATGAGACCTCCACTTTCAGGACGAAGGGGACCGCTGAGGTCATACAGTACCCTGCAGTAAAGCTTAAAGGGCTGAAGTGACTGAGGCAAACTGAGGAGGAAAGAGGAAGAAAATAAGATGATGATAAAATAGAGTGTTTAAAGGCTAATTTTACTACAGGCTTATGTTTATGAAATATAAAAAAAATATATAGAATAAGTTAAACTTTCCTGCATTATGAGACTTTTAAATTGCATTTGTAAGAGACTATAAGCTTTATCAACTTTAAAACTGTAATGACTTGAAATCTGGAAACTCTTCGGTTTGAATGTGATTCATTTGTTAACAACTACAGGAGCAGTAAGAAAGTGGAAACACAGGGTTGTGTGCATTGTGTGGTGAGAAGCTCTTCCATGATACAGTAGCAATGAACTAGCCTCAGCGAGACAGCTGAAGAAAACATTTGTTCCTACATGGTTAAATGCACTTTCCTGCAGCCCTAAAACAGGGAGGGCTACGTATGATCTCAGATATTTCTGAATTGCTGACTGACACTTACTTTCTGAGGATGGCCTTAAGGACTTGTAGCTGAGACTCTTTATCTTCGTTAATTCCTACATATACCAGTTTATCAAACCTGACAGAAGACAAAAACAAACGCACATTAAAACAGCACCAAAAATAATCATGTTTTGGTCCTGAAAAGTGTGGTAAACTGAACCAAATATTTAAACATTATACCCTGACTAGTTACTGCATTTAACTTTTATAAAAAGAAGCTCTTAAACAAGGCTGGTTTAACCAGAAATGAAATGTTATAAATGTTATAAATGTTTTATACCCACAGACTGATGTGCAGCAACACTCCCATCATGAAACATTCTTGCTAAGGGAAATGCATTTTGTTTTTGGTCTGTCCTCTGTGTAAAGCACTGCAGCTGACTGTGTGTTTCATGCTCAGTAAAGCATGAAGTGGAAACACTAAAAAAGGCAAACTGTCCACAACTAAAGGGTTGCATTAAGTGAAATCTGGGGGTCATACCTGCCAGGCCGGAGCAGAGATGGGTCAAGCAGGTCAGGTCGGTTAGTTGCTCCAATTACAAACACGTCTCCCGAGGAGTGTAGCCCATCCAGCTCTGCTAAAAGCTGAGACACCACCCTAGATAACAGAGAAAGAGCAGGTACAGTATGAAGACACAGAGAAATGCTGAGGAAGAAGCCAATTCCAACTGTACTGCGCTAAGGTTGCGACTCAATTCTGGAAGGAGCATGGTCTGAGGTTGTAAGTCAAACTGATCAAACTGTTTCTACGCAGGACTTGAGAAAGTTCTGAAATGTAAAAGTGTTCATATTTCAAGTTTCTTCTTTGGGATTGTTCTCGTTTAAAAGGGAAAACAGGATTCACCTCTTCATGCAAAGGACTGCAGGAACACGGAGCAAATTACCCAGCCAAGCTGTTAAAGCCCATTACCTGACTTCTTTCAAGAAACAGCTGGACAAGATCTTCAGTTTAGTTATCTGCCAACAACCAAAAAGGCTCAATGAGCTCCTCTCTTTTGTAACCTTTATGTTCTTTCTTACGTTTTTTTTTCCCCAAACTAGCACAACAGGACTTTGCAGGCGGGCTTTTGATTGTTAGACTGCTTGTTCTGAAACAGCAGTCTTTGCATTTCACAGTTTCCTGATCCTCCCTGTAACTTTATTGTTACACATACAGTAGGTTACACCCTTCACCACCCTGCAGTTCTGAGGGTCTTCCAGAAAGTGTAACTGGGCTACGGAATACTGAATGGCCACACCTACCGGTCCATGACCCCTCCCGAGTCCCCACTCCGGCCTCTGTTAGGAGCCAACGAGTCCAGCTCGTCAAAAAACACCACACAGGGAGCTGCAGCCCGGGCTTTCGAAAAGACTGGAGGAGGAAACCAACGGGAACCGAGTCAAATAAACAACGCTGACAAAACAAGCCGCTTGCGAGTTCACAAAAGTCTAAATCATCCAATAACAAAACATGATTGGCTCACAACCAATGCTGATTTTTAACGACGCTTCATGAAGGAGGCTCCACTACACATCACTGGGAAAAACGTCTTGAGGTACATACCCTCCCGAACATTTTCCTCACTTTGGCCCACATACATGTTGATCAGCTCCGGCCCCTTCACGCTATCCGGAGAAAAAAAAAAAGATTAAACAATTATTGCATTTATTGGAGATGATAGTTCTGATTGATGAATGAACTAATTAATTAGCTAATGAACTCCCCAGCTTTAAAAGAATCCTAGCGCTTTCAGACAGAAAGAACACACAGAAAACAAATGTCCAATAAATAAATTATGGAGGAGGTAATCATGACATTTTCAACCAACTTGTTAGAGCTTGGCAAAAAAGTTGCAATACAAAAGCATGTTTTCTACGGTGCCACATGATACAGATGAAAGCAGATGTTGGAGATGTCATTGCTGCAGGAGGGTTCAATCCCAAGGACAGCGCTGACAGTTTGAACGAGCTGAATGTGCCCACTTTACGTCTTGAAGATCTACCTTTCTCACTTTTGTACCAACAGGCGGGGATTCCAGCGTGTTGCTTCCAAGCCTCCAAAAATGATGACTGGTGGAACACGCTAACTACATTTTTCTGATTTTACTTTTAAACTTTAACATGATTGCCCTCGCTTAAGAAAAGGGAGGCCTTTGTGGTGGAGACGTAGGTGCTCACGGCAGGACTTGTCCGTACCTCAGAAAGGTCAAGGAGCACTCAGTCGCCACAGCTTTGGCGAGCAGCGTCTTCCCAGTGCCAGGAGGCCCATACAGCAGCACACCCGAGCGTCTCAGGCCCAGGGAGACCAGCTCGGGGTGCTCCAGTGGCAGCTGGATGGTATCCAGTATCTCCCTCTTCACGTGCTGTAGGCCGCCTATATCCTGCCACTTCACTGAGGGAATCTAGGGCACAGAGAACAGACAGCCTAGCGAGTCTCACGCCAATACTTCCTGTCAGCGACGCAGAGCTGGCAACTCAGCCAAGAGCTCACAGAAACACCTAACAGCAGTGCTGACCGCAGAAAGAGCACAGAAAGATAGAGCTGTAAGGTATTTCTGGCTACTGGTATTCAATTGTATAATTAAATTGTATTAAATTAATTGAAGGTAATAAATGGAAGAGGTCAGGCCTCAGATAACAGGGAATATCTGTTTCAACAGCTAACAAGGATGTTTAACACATGCATTTTCAAATGGTCAGCTTCAGTTGTGTAAGTCCTATTTGTCAAGCATGCAACGACATATAAGATTATGTACTCACTTTGTTTAGTTTAGTGCAAAACTCTACAGGACACTTTGCAGCAACACTTAAATAGTCACCTTTTACAAACCTAACAGTATTGTCTTAGAACACAAGAACAGTTACAGATGAGAGCCTACTGGTCCCATCTAGCTCATGTAGGGGTTTGTAGTCAGTTGCCCTAGTAGTTTCTCCTTGCGTCCCTTGGTTCATGTGTCCGCATGGATGTCAGGAGCCTACCTTGGGTGCTCCAACGGAACGAGAGTGAGCCTTCTGTAGCTCATCCAGAGCGCTGGCAAAGTCCTCAGCCAGGATACACACTCCAGAGGCACGCAGATCCTCCTCTTCATGCAGACTAAGCCCGCCTGGGAAACTACAGATCAGTCAAAAATATAACCTTTCTGCTGCTGCAAGAAGCAAGAAATCAGGAGCTCCAGCTGTGACCAAAGGCTCATCCTCTTGGTGGGAATTAACAAACACTTATTATGCAACAATCTGAAGTCACAGTGTCTACTAGGGCAAAACCTTTTATCATCTCTATTTCCTCAGCCTTGGCACGCAAGGTTGTTGCTATTAAAGGTATTATTAATGGGTGACAAAAACAGAGCAAGAAAGGGAGAATGTCTTATGTTATAAAAAGGGAGGAGAGCAGGTTTAGTTGAAAGATAACATGAGCTAAGAATCTGCAAAGCTTGATCTGTTCATGCTTAATATTCATTAGCTGATTCATATTCATGAATACAATATCAATGTACCAAGGACCCAAGATCTTACCAGGTCTTTAGGATCCTTCTGTAGGCTGACTTGCCAGCACAACCAAGTAGTGTGCACAGATCACCCAGAAGAAAGCCCTGAAAAAGTTGAAATCCGAAATGCTAAAAAGAACTGCAGACTTTGACTCCATCACAGAAACTTCACTTACTGAAAAAAACATAACTGTAAAACTACTTATAATGTTTTTATAAGTATGCTTTTATTTTGTATTCCTCCCATCCATGCAAAATAAAACAACCGTCTATATTTCAGTTCACAAAGAGATGCAGAAATAAATGAGCACATCTCACTACAAATCTGGGCTACTGTTCCATGCCTAAAGACAAGCTTTCAGATGTATATAAAAGATGCACATGGCTCAGAAAACAGATGTTATGCGCTTGCATGGGGAAGTGTTGACCAACCAGATTGTACTCACAGCGGCATACAGAAGAGATTTAATCTGTATTACTCCAGATTGTTACAGTTTCACTGTTGTAAGAAACATATCCATTAACATATGGAATTGTTATTGCTAATCGTAAGCAATAAAACAACAATATTCCATGTAAAAATGTTAATTCTAGCGCAATATTCAAACACGTTTCTCCTAAAGGAGTCTCAGTCCTACAGGGAACCAGCTGCTGCCTGTTTCCTTACCGCTGTCTGTTTAGCAATCTTGCCCAGGTTAACATCTTTCCCCAGAGGCTGTCCTGCAGACAGACTGGTCAGCATAGCCTTCCTCTGCTCTTCTGTAGGGCTTTCCACTGCCACCTGGTGGACAAATGCCATCATCACATCAAGGGACAGCTCCCGTGGGCTGCGAACTGTGCCGATGACCACAATGTTGCCGCTGTTCAACATATTTAAAAGAACAGAGGTTGGTGAAAGGTACAAAAAGCAACACATTATAAATACATTCTGTAAATAAATCATTTCAATTTTCTATTTAAATGAATACACATGCATTTTTATTAGAGTCAATAATTCAAAGGCGCTCCAACCCAAGCAATGCTAAAAGTTTTAAAGTTTTATTTCACAGTGAAATCAAGTCCACTGCCAACTCTGCTTTCAGGGCTGAAAGATGTGAAAACATGAAGGTAACCCACATCACACGTGAACAAAGTCTCACTGCACTCTGAAAAAAATCTAGAGAAACTAAACATTAAGACTGTCACTTAAAGGGGAACCGCAGACCCAATTTCTCAGACCAAATATAAAATCTTGGTAATGAAATAAATTCATTGAAATCTAGAAAAAAATGACAAATTTCAAATTAAGCACATAATCATCAGTTGAGAGCTCCCACAAATTGTGACATGATGTGGCCCTTCCTGCTCACTAGTCACTGTAATGACTAATGTAATGTGATGTACGAGTGAATAAGTACAGGTTATTCAGCAGACATTTCACAACAGAAATGTTTCAACGTGATCTGCATGCAGGGTTAACAAGAAAGTAATATTTGTCGCCAAAACTGTCTCGAAGTCGAGAACCATATTTCTATTGGATTAAAAGAGATGTATTCACAAGTCTGCTTCTTTGCAATGTAATAGGGCTGCAACACATCACCAGACATTTTGTTGTCTCGTGCTGAATTGCAGAATATGGCTCTGCTCACACCTGGAAATTTAGTCTATCTTGTGATGTAAATTGGAGGTTTTACAAGTTACTGTGTACATTTGACTTTTACCGTGGCTTGAAACGCACTCATCAACGCTGATTCTTTCTAACCCCCCCAAATATAAAAACAGCATCGCATTTCCCCCTTAAAACTACAGGAAATAATAATTAAATGAATTTTTACTTGTCCTACAGCACGTGAGATCTGAGGTGGTTAGTCATTACCCACCAGAAGCCTCATTACACAGCAGGTCAGGTACAGGAGTTATGCACAGTGCTGGGGCATCTCTGAGGAGCAAGTACTCAGGACCTTTGGTTTATCATCTGTAGGACAGGACATCCTATAGCACAGTGTCCCCAGAGTCACCATACTGGAGCACGGGTTAGACATTCTCTTCCAGGGAGAAGAGCACCCCCTGCAGGTCCACCAACACCAGTTCAGCCAGCACTTGGGCTTTCCTTCCACATCTCGCATCCCAGAACTGGCCAGACTCAGCCCTTCCTGGCTCCTGCCTGCTGATGAACGCAGGCTAAGGTTTCGCCTCTGCAGCAGTAAACCAAGTGAGACGCGCGCCGTGCGGCCGCCCGCACTTCCTGGCGCCCTGGGCACGCCGAGCCGCTCGTGTGGTCACCTGGCGGGGGCGGCGAGGCCAGCGATGAGACGCCGGAGGGCGCGGCCAGCCCTGGCGTCCTCCGCGGAGCCCTCGCGCTGCTTGCCCACCCACTGCACGTTCCTCAGCAGGAGGGCACAGGGCTGGTGCAGCTCCGCCCGGGAGAACGCCCCCTGCAGCTTGGCCTCGCCGGCGGCGGCCGTCTCCCCGCAGAGGCCCACACAGTCCACCTGCGGGACAGCCAAACACTCACTAGGTACCCTCTGAACCTCTCCCAGACATGGCCCTGCAATTTATGAAGGAGATCCTCTCCTGCATGACCTTCTACTATAATAATAATAAACTTTATTTATACAGGGCCTTTAAAGGTGGCTTCACAAAGCGCTTTACAGAACGGCAACAACACATGAAAAAAAAACAAGATTTACACAATGAAAAATGCACAATGAGAGGAGACAGTAGATGGAGGTACTGAAGACGGTAGGAGCAAAGGGGAAAATAACAGAACCAGTTAAAAACAGAACCAGGCCCTTCTAAAGAAGGAGGTTTTTAGTCTACTATGCAATTTTCTAAAACTTTTCAGTTACCTTAAGCCGATATTTGGTTCTGTTAACCACACAAGTTAAAATAGCCTTGAACAAACAGATAAAAATAAAAAGAATGGTGAAATCAGTGGTGCACAATGCTCTGAAGCTCACTGAAACACTGTGCATTACTGACACGCTACTCTATCTACCCAGTAAAACTGTATCATAAAGTCTTAGAACACCAGTTGGGAGCTCAGATTTGGTTTTCTTTGTAAATCCTGTTTTTTTTTTTTTTTGCAAGGTAAATTATTGCCAAACATTTCCCCCTCATTTTATTACAGTCCCAGTCCTCATGCTTCAGGACATACCTTGAGGAAGTGTAGGTTCAGTCTGGCGCACGCTGCTCTGACAGTTGTGACCTTCCCGCTGCCACACGGACCGTGCACTAGGAGCGTGCAAGCACTCCCCAGCACTGCGGCGCTGGAAGGAAAATCACCACGCAAAACTCAGGGAACAGTCCGGAAGGAAGCAACACCAATGAACCGCAACAAAAAAGAGCAACTTGAACAAAGGCATCTGTACGTGTGAATAGTTTTCCGCTCAATAGCAAAAATTTTTTATAGTTAGTACAGTAGCGGTTTGTGCAGTATTCTACTATATGGGGCCTTATTTAAGAGACAAATAATGGTTATAAAACACTTGCATTAGTCCTTAGCTGGTATGGATCAGCACAGAATAATTTTCCAATACATAACCCACCAAGACTTGCTGGACAGTTTGTTTTACAGTGGCGTAAACCAGATACTCTTTCCGTGCTGCTTCAACTGAGAAAGCTGTGTGACAGAATTCCTAAGAATCCGAGACACCGTTCGCAGCACACAAATCCTTCTCGTTTAGCTGCAGACAGTCATACACACCCTTCGGTGACATGAGGCTGGATGGTGCTGACAATTTGCTCCACTGTGTGCGAGAGCCCTGGGGGACACAGGCTGGTCCAGAACGAAGGCCCATCACCCCCAGGGGAACAGGGAACGAAACTGTTTATATTTCCTGCCTGAGGGGCGACAAAATCATGACAGCCAGAATACTTAAGGCAAAGCAGAATACTTAAAGGCAAATAAACCCTGGTGCGTAGAATTTTTTGAACCACTGTATTTTAGAAATCAAAATCCTATGGGGAAAATAAAATAGATCACTTTCACTTATCATTTCAGATTTGCAGTTTTTACTTATGCTTTTGCTTTTCTAAAGGGCAATGGACATTTAGTTCCACATTTTCCCCAAGACATCTGTGATTTCAATTAAAACCTGTTGTGCCCCCTAATAAAAATCAGTTTCCAAACTCACATAACTGAAGTGCTGGACGACTAAGACTGCATCACTAATGCTTCCAGTGCCCTTTGAGGAACTAGAAGTCCACTGTGCTACTGTGTTAACGTGTAGATGTTATACAGTATCTCTACTAATGATTCAGGTATTGATGGATGGGTAACTCCAAATGTTAACGAACAAAGATTCAGAATGTTTTTTTCATTTTTCATTCACAAACGGGAAAAGATGACACTAATGCCTTATATTTCAATTTTTTCTCAAATAACCTTTATAGATCCTTACTCAAAACTGCATGTAGGTCTGAAAGGCGATATGGGATGTGATATTTTAGCTGAATTTTTCCAACAAAAAGGTTATTGATGTATGGATATTGTTCCACGAAAAAAAAACAGAAAATGATTTCTGGGACATTAGCTACTATACTACCATTGCATTCCTGTACAATGTCTATTTACATTCAACATATATATCCAAAGACAATTCTCTCTTACCAAGTACAAGGATGTGTGTTCTGTATCAGCCAGATAACCAAAAGGGCTCATCTCTCCATTCTCTGTAGTAGTGCCACAAACCTTCTTCACCCTGAAATACAATACTGGCCAACTGCGAGATAACAAGACAACATAAAACAATTAGATAAAAAATAGGCATGAACAACTAGGATATTAGTTACAAGCATAACCAGATTTCTAGTGGGCATTTACCATGACAACTTTGCAAGACATTGTCACAATGCCTTTCTGTGCTAATACCATGAATTTGTTTTACCTGGTCACTGTTACATGTAATCTAAATTATGCTTTACTGTATCTCTCTGTTCTTCACCATGATTTCACTAAGCATGGACACACCTAGCATTTTCCAAGTCATATACCGCAGTAAACTTTTAGAATCAAGATGTTTAATATTGTGGAGACAAAGATAATTATTTTTCACAGACAGATTTAAACTGTTCTATATGCTTTAATATACAGCTGATTTTGCTTAAAGTTTCTGGGCTGAGAGATTACCTTGTAAATCCTTCAGTGTGACTCTCTAGGAATGCTGCATGTCCTTCAGTAGGAATGCTCAAAACATCCCCTAATTGCACCAGCCTGAAATGACAAAATATCAGCTGGAGTGAAATTTGATCAAGTTTTAAATGCAGTATGTACTGTATATAATATGCTGAAAAAAGAAGAAAGAAAACACAACGTTTCAGCCGTGGAGCACCATGGCCGAAACGTTGCGTTTTCTTTCTTCTCTTTTCAGCATGGAATAAACCTATTACTTGTTCCTTTGCAGCCTACACATGCTGATGCAGCTACCCACCTGAACATGTATATAATATGTAGTATATACGTGATACAATAATGATGATTCCTACTGTACATGGGACAAACCCTTCCTTGACACCAGTTACATTAAGGGTGTTCCTGCAGTTTTAAAATGGAGTGGGCCTATGACTATTCATATCTTTGAGACACTTGACTAACCTGGGTGTGCTAAAGTGTGCATAGAGAACACTATCAATACTGCCTTTGGAGCTGTAGTCAGGTGAAATGATGGCGTCAATGTGCAGTTCTCTGGCAAAGGGTAAAGATGCTGTGGAGGACCTGCTGTCTTTCAGCTGTCTCTCTTGTTGGGAAACCTGCTCATAGCATCTCTGCAGAAAAACAGGAGAAAAAGACTCACTTCAAATTATGGTACTTCTTACCACTCGCAAGGATTAGTTCAACCAGTCCCTTCTGTTCACTGAACTAGAGATATTCCCCAATATGTACACTCTAGCTCATAAAGTATTGCCAACATGGAGAAGCACAATTTCTCCCATATTTGAATAGTTTACGTTAGAAATGACGTGATCAACTTAATGTTTTAGAAAATGTTCCATCTACATCCTTCTCAAGTGGAATACAAGACACAGACCTCAGCACTCACCTTTATCTTGACAACTCTGCTGGCGATGGGCATTGGGGCCCCACCAGATAAGTTAAACCACAGAGAGGGCGAGACGAAGCCCACGTTTTCGTGAAACTCCAGGTCTTGAGATCTGGTGAATTCAGCAACAACAACTGCAGCGAGGTGCCCACCTCTGTGTGTCACGGCGTCTTTACTGCAGGCATGGTCCTCGGGTTTCTCAGGACAGTCACTCCTAACCGAAACCCTCATTTTGTCCGAAGAGAGGCTTAACGTGGACACAACAACCCATTCGTGGTTGAACAGACCCAGTTTAAGGAGTGAGTGTTTGCTCACAAAAATAGAAGCATCCACGTTGGTCCCCAAATCTGCCTTATCTTTTATTTTAATCCTCCCTTGCTTCAGCAGGCTGGACACATCCATTACTCTGACGTCAAATCTGCATTCCAATGCTTGCAGAAAATCAGAGAAGTCTGACTTAATGACTTTCTTCTTTTCTAACAGCGAACGCCCCCCAGAGAAGCTATTAGCGTAGTGTGCAAAATCAGAAGCATACAGGGATGTTAAAAGTCTAGTCGTCGACGCCTGGCTTGAGCCCTCTAAAGGGCCGTGATTCTGCGCCAAGTCTCTGCAGTCTGTGACCACCACAGTCGTGTTAACTGTTATGACTCCCTGCGTAACAGGTGTACACTCCAGGACAACCAGGTCTAAAAAATACTGATTAACCTGGGCGATATCGTCGCCAAAAAGTGGGTGGTAAGGCACTAACAACACGTCACCCTGCCTCGCCAAAACGTTTTGTTTCTGACAGGAGGCGAGTATGAGAAGTCCATTCGAGAACTTATCGGAATTTGCCCATTTAAAGCTCTGTCTGCTTTTTGCGCCAACCACTATTTTACTCAGGCCTATTGGAGACGCCAAACGCACCGACACTTTTGCACCAGGCTGAAACCCGTAATGCCGAAAAAACAGTCTGCTTGTGTAAAGTTTTAGCAGTGTATCGCTGTTCACGAAGGTAGCAAACTCCGGAATGTCTTCCTCTGTCGTGACATGGGCACACAGAAACATGTCAGCTCTCGGAGGAGACTGCCGCCTCCGCGCACAAAGCAGCACACATGGTAATTCATTTCTACCTGGAAATATCTGATTGAACTGTGATTTTGCAAGCAGGACATGCAATTGATTATAATGAGACGGAAACGTATCCAAGCAAAACAACTCTGCCTGCGCTGCCATATTGTCGAATGCAGCACGAACTGATGAAATCAGGAAATCAAGCAGAGAGACGAGCTGTCGAACCTTTTGTCTTTCTTCGCTTCAACCATCAGAGGGCATCACACAACAAAATACAGTATTTCAAAGTCGTTACTTACGGATTGCGACGAAAATACAAATATTTAGGGACGCAATTATGCTGGACTGAAAAATCAATCACTGTGGACGATTTTACAGTACTTTTAATAAATTAAGATGTATTGTGGCGCACAGTTAATAGTATATGCATAGAATATCAGTGCTCTTTAATCGATATTCGCGTTTCAACTTCAACATTTGTGTTTCACCTGATAGATTGTTAGTCATATTTCTTGAAATATGAAAAAAACACGACAGACAAATGATAATACATTTAAACGTGATAACTCATTAAAAAAGAATAACCTGTTATTGGACGATACTATAAGTATAGAAATTGTAGCACATAATTACACGACATCTTTTTTTAATAAATGCAATTGTATTGTATATCTACAGCAAGCTTAATGAAAAATGCATTCCTACACTAACATGTACACAAAAGGTGTTTTAATATTGATGTATAATTGAATATATTTTGTTCTCCAAATGTTTTCTAGGCATGAATGTTATGTTCCCAATTCAAACGAAATAATACAACTAATAAAAAGTAATCTCAATATATTTTGAGTTCCTCCTGTATATCCTTTTCATTTCCTCTTTATATCGATGTTATAATTTCACACTGTGTCTTGATTTACACCTTTCACATTTCTGTTACCCAGAACGTCCGTGTTTTAAAAATAATAATCATAATTGCTTACACTTAAATAGAGCTTTTCTGGACACTCCACTCAAAGCACTTTACAGGTAATGGGGACTCCCCTCCACCACCACCACCAATGTGCAGCCCCACCTGGATGATGCGACGGCAGCCATAGTGCTCCAAACGCTCACCACACATCAGCTGTGGGGAGGAGAGCAGAGTAATGAAGCCAGTTCAGAGAGGGGGATTATTAGGAGGCCATGATTGGTAAGGGCCAATGGGAAATTTGGCCAGGACGCCGCGGTTACACCCCTGCTCCTTTCGAGAAACACCCTGGGATTTTTAATCACCACAGAGAGTCAGGACCTCGGTTTTAAGTCTCGTCCGAAGAACGGCGCCTGTTTACAGTATAGTGTCCCCGTCACTATACTGGGGCATTAGGACCCACACAGACCGCAGGGTGAGCGCCCCCCGCTGGCCCCACTATCACCTCTTTCAGCAGCAACCTTAGTTTTTCCAAGGAGGTTTCCCATCCAGGTACTGACCAGGCTCACACCTGCTGAGCTACAGTGGGTTTTAGAATGTTCAAAAGCAGCGTGTCCATTGTAGAGCGGAATAACAATATTATTGTTATTAATTATTATTATTATTATTATTTATCTAAATGTTTGGCAATGTTTAATTATTATTGCTTTGCTTTAGCAGCACAAATTCATCGGTCATGCCGTGCAAGCTCTTTGAATCTGGATCACTGTCAGGAGGCTTTTGGATTGGATTCTGCAGCCCTACACTGCACTGGCACAATGCGAGTGGGTTTACAGTCCATTCTTTAGCACCGTACTTGACATTAGAACCGCCGGGAACAGGCTAAATCGGGAGAATTACGCTCCTGTCGCGGAACTGAACCTGAAAGAGGAATTCCTGGGAACTGGCCTCACTGGGATGCTTTTCCCACGCGTGGCCCGCGGAGAGCAGACACCAGCTGCAGTGCATCCTCTGCGAGCAACAAGTGTTATTCAACCGGCATTTTCCCATCCATCCTCTCAGCCTCTTCTTTCAAGCCCTCTCTTCTTTTTTATATTATTTTCAGAACTCAAATCCCACAACACCCGCTGACATTTATTCTTAACACAAAGCCCTTCCTTCCCACCGAAGACAATGCCAGCCCCGCATATAGACTTGCATCTGGGAAGCGCTGATGAACAAACACCACTTTGTCTTTTGCGATCGTCGTGGGGGCCGGGATGGTGGAAATTATATACAGTACAATGCATTCTAGCAGGAAAAACATCCTTATGTTCAACATACTGTAGACCTCTTTTAGATAGAAGTATGCAACCATTCTTCTAAAACGTGAATTGTTTCTATTTTAAATTCAGCGCAATACGCAAGATTTCTCCTGCAGGTTTTACTGAGACAAACGTTAGTGCCTTAAAGCAATTGGCTTGTTAATTGCTAATCCATTGTGCTCTGCACGCGTGGGTTCGAATCCCATCCTCGTCGTCTTGAGCTTCATTGTCTTGATGCACTGTTTGCACTTTGTTTTGTTTTTTACACTTGTTTTACAAACGAGAGACTTTCTGTAAGTAAGAATTCCATTGTTCCAGTACCGGTTACATATGGCAATGAAGTTCAAGTTCAAGTTGTTACCTTTATTTGTATGACTCAGTTCCTAAGAAGAGAAAACGTACAATTGTGCACGAAATATGAATTTGATAAGAGTCGTTGGATTTGCTTATTCTTTATTCGCCTTTGAAATGAAATTAAAAATAGGCTATACACATCAAGCATGTATCAGAGATGTTAAAATCTACAAACCGGACTTTTTTTTTCCCATAGACGTTGTGCAGAAATGCATTCCGAAGAGTTTAAATATGATAAACCTTATTATTTTTTTCATAGAAGTACATATTCTACCACCTAAACGACACTCCAAAACACAACCTGCTAAATATTACAGGTCTGTTCAGAAGGTTCTGGGAGTGTGGAACAAGGTCCCCAGTCATTGTGAAGTCGATACTTATTTCAATTAACAGCTGGATGGGATACTCGAATCAATTAGCTACTAACGATAAAAAAAAACATAACTATTCTCATGTTTTTTAACATTGTGAAAAAAAGATGACTTCCTCTTAAATTCTGCACTCTGTTTTATATGCTTATTTAATATATATTATTTATATGCAGTTATCTTGACACCGCAACTTTCTGCAATGGTAAATACGGTATTTCTTGTATGTTTACAATCCCGATTAAAAGTGTGAAACGAAGAGCCTTCTTTCGGAATCTGATCCTCTTTTTAGCCTGAACCGATCAAAGGGCAAGAAGTAACTTATGATGTTAACGAACGCAACTCGTTACTGCAGCCAGTGATCAATTCACAGATTAATATCCGCCTGCTAGGATAACCTACAGTATTTCAAAGCTGTTTAAGTGATGTGGTAGCGAACCTATCACAGTCAGCACCCTGCTATCCTACCCGAGTGAGTTCCCGAGGAGGCGGGTCGCTGCGGTTCTTTAAAGTTGAATAAGTTGGCGGCGCGGAGCGCAGTTCTGGGGAGTCTGGAGCCCGGAGCCTGGATAGAGATCCGTCAGGCAGGCGGGAGAGAGAGAGAGCAGGCGGAATTAAATTTTCAGTGGCCAGGGGCTAAACTTGAGCAGAATGACCTCCAAATGCCCCAGATGCGAAAAGCCTGTCTTTTTTGGTAAGACTTTGCCTTGTTTTCTCGGCGTGTTGCATGGATGAACACATACTGTACATTGTTAGGAAGAATGCAAGCAAACCAGCTGGTGTGGCTGAGTGTTATTGTTTTTAAGGTGGCGTGCAGGCAGTCCCACCACTTTAATGTGTTACTTTTGTTGCAGCGTTATAGTGATTACAAAACGGCACAAGCTGCGATCATGCTGTAATGTTTGGTTTCCTATTGTCTTAATTATACTTCTAAAATGAGAGGGCTGTGTGGCGTTATGGATTTATTTTCCTGTTTAAGTTTTTAAGCTATCCTTATCTGTATGTTTTAATTCAGTAGCCGAAGTAAATCAAATTTTTATTGCTTAAAGCTTTCTTCTCTAAGCACAATATCTCATCTGAAAATGTAATGTCATTATCTAATCCTAGTTGCTCAAGTCTTTTGTTTTCCATATAATTCATCTTAATGCTCTGACGTCCAAAACTTGTTGTTCATGGTTACCCTTTTAATCGAGCTCGACAGACGCGTATTAAACTAGACTTCCAGCTCTTATCTTTTAATTATTATGGATGTTTGTAAGTAATTGCCTTCAAATGTCCTCTCTGCAATGCGAGCTGTTGTACAGTATTGTGGAGACTACGGATGCCGTAGAAACACCAGATCTTCTACAGCGTGGGCTGTTTTCCTCTGTTGTAGCTGCAGAAGGATGTCGCAGAAATATGGCAAAAATAAATTAGTGAATCAATCGGTTTTTGCTGAACAAGCCTGTCGCTTGCTTTTTAACGTTAATACTGAGACAATTTAAACGGTTAGGCGTTACATACAGTAGTTGCAGCTTGTGTTTAACATAAGTAGCTTTTAGTGGAGGTTTGAGACAGACTGGTGTGCTGGCAGATTGTCAATGACAGTGGTCTATCGCGCCAGTGCGGTATCAGGTGCTGCTACGGACATAATCAAGCTATCTGATACAATAGAATGAAGGCTTGTAAACACCCTCCTAACTGCTATTAAAATAGGTCATAACAAATAAGTTATGTAACCGTTTGGCACATGCTGTGATGCTGGAGCTCCATCAATAGTCCGTTGTCACCGCAAAGGATGGCTGTTTTTGACAGGAAGCCATTCAGCTATGCCTTAATTGTGTAGGGAGAGTTGCAGAGTGCTCGCAGTGCTCATAGAAGCAAAAGACATGGACTGCCTGCCCGTTATTATTCAGGAAAAAGACACGGGGACATTGCCTTGTGCTGGAATAGGAATCCAGGGTCGTATGCTATGCACATACGTGAAAGACCCAAAGGTGAAGATGTAAAAGACATTAGAATTTGTTTTAAACTTTCTGTAATTAATGGAACAAACTGGTATCTGGGCGTTTAAGTTTTTAGTGTTAAAGAATATGGAATGCTGCTATTGACGGGTGTCCTGTCGATGATGTATCCTTCCTGTGCCTATTGCTTGCTGGGATAGGCTCCGGCTCTCCTCACAGCACCAAACTGGATGAAGTGGATAGGAAATGGATTGCCGAATATGAAATGTGATCTGCGGATGTCATATAGAGAACATCTTGTGTTTTCCTTTGAGTGAAGTTATGGATAAACCAGAAAGCAACAGGTTATTTCATTAAATATTTACAGTAGTTCTTGTGATCATTTGTGTTAAACAATGGAAGGATATGATCCCAGTCTAACAAATTCTCTTTCCAAAGGCCCTGCATGTTTTTGTCTTTAGGGAAACATTTTCTGATTGGAAGTACAGCAGATGAGAAACATGAATGGGCTATGCTATGGTCTTTTTCCCACACAGTAGTTTCTGCACAGTTTAACTTATTACTAACCATTGACTTCAGTTTATATGCTCTAGGAGTTGAGGAACCAAATTCTTTGGCCTTTTGTGCAGAGTAATTTACCGTTAATAATTGTGAGTGATGGGTTTTACATTTATGATGGGTAGATTGATGGCATTACATTAATGTTTTGTGTAGGGTTAAGGTTAGTACTAAAGGAAAATGCCCAACCAATTTAATCAAACATGCACAAGGCTGTTTTTGTATTATGCATTATTTCAGTGTCAGATTGTCACATCAAGCAATCATTTTAATTATTGGCTCTGCAAAAAACATAGCAACTTTTACATTACACATCCTTTCTCCTCTATGTTCACCACATTTTCAAAATGCTCTGATGCTGGTTCATGATAATTTCCATAGAGATTGCCTGTTAAAGAGAGATCAGAATTTTTATAGTTAAATACGGGGTTAGAATTCATCTTGAGTTTTTTCTTGTGTAAGAAGCAAACATGCAGACAGTACGTTCTTTCTATGGGCACTTTGCAGACTATGTAACAATATAATAACCTTTTCTTAATGGGACCTCTAAGGCCTGATAAACTTGCAGTGTTCTGATAGTGTCAGTATTCTGAGGGGTTACAGTTCCTTAATGCAGAGGAATATGGTGCTTTGAGGTTTAGAAGTCTGTGCCATCTACCAGACCCCATCTTTAGTGATTAGCTACAGGAAACTAAAGGTAAGCAGCTTCCTCACCACCCTATCCCCCCTACAAAAAGCATACTAGTTAATTAGCATTGTCTGGAGATTTCCTGAAGCTAGTTCCACTGCATTCTGGTCTCTACAAGGAAAAGAGTGCCAGTTGCTAAAAAATGAATGGAATGAGATCAAGCTGTACAGCCATCTGGGTTGAGACTTTAAAGTCCAGCTGGTATTGTCCTTACTTTAAAATATAAACTGTAACATGCAGGACTTTTCCAGTCAGCCTTTTACTGTGTAGTCTACATGAGCTTTTACTGTAAAAAGCACATCCTGGTCAGTTGTCATTACAGTTTTTAAAAAAAACATTTTTTACATTTCTCGACATCATAGAAAAGCAGATTTGAGAGATGACTTGGTTGTCTTTCAGGGTTCTAGCTTTCTGCGTATGGAAAACTAAAACTCTTCATCTAATCTAATAGGGATATAGGGATCTAAAGAATCTAATAGAGAGGATGAGCGAAGTAAAGGAGATTAGAATTAGGAGAATGGTTAATCAAATTCACAATTCTTTTTTGTAAGTTAATCAATAATGGGTTCAAAACTGTCCTGGAAATATCTTGTATATCACAACAAAGTATTTGCTGCAGAAAAAAAGCTATCTGGCCTTCTAGAGCTGATGCAATACTTCCTGGAATGCAAGATGTTTTTAGTTTCAAATGCCAGGTTTCCTACTTGATGTCGCCCAGCCTCTTACACATCACACAGGGAAGGTGTGGAGACCCCACAGTGAGAATCTATCACATGCATTCTCACGCATTAAATGTGCTGGTGCCTGATTAGTGTTTACTCATGTATGAAATAGCCAGGAATAGTCATTACACAGGGACAGTAATGACTGGTGTTACAGTTTATTATTAACTTGCAGACCACATACCTACCTGAGGCTGTCTAGAACCGTTTTGAAATGGCGTGGTTTGTATGTTTCGAAATAATAAAGTACATGATTTCGTTAATTGCACTGACAACTGCTATTGAAGTACAGCAGCTTTGAAAACGGGGGGGCATTGTTTTTAAACAAGAGGCTTAAACCTTTCATATTTTTTAAATCATTTAAAAACAGCGTTTACCTGGGAGGAAAAACATGTTATAGGCTTTCTTTTTTTCAGACATAAGACCCAGTTTGCTAGATCCATCAGCTGCCATGGATGTAGTAAAACAAAAGCTCTGAAACTGAGAAATATCAGACTTGACTACATCTCATATCCTATGTTATCCTAATTGAGGAAGTATATTAATATTGTGCTTTTATCATAGAACATCTGCATTGTATATTAAACGCATCAAGCTTCCACAGTATTAGTGTTTCTGAAGAGTATTAAGCTCACACACTTACAATTTGTCTTCTTAGGAGATCTCATCCTTCAGAGAGCTTTCTGGTGCAGTGGTTTCTCCTGTTTCTTAACCTGTATTCATCTGGTTTCAGTAAACTGTGTCTGATAAGACCTGGGGCCATCCCTCCATTATTCCCTCAAAATGGGGCTTGACGCGTCTGCCTCCCAAATTCTCCTGTTACAGAACTGAAAACGGGCTTGGGAACATAATAAACTAAAGGTCCTTTTTTTCCCCTTGTTTTTCTATAATAGACTACATTTTTTTTTGTGAGACTATTTTATCAGACGCCAAAGTCCCCCGAGCTGTGGGGGAATGAAATGAACGCTTGTCCACCACCAAAAAAAAAAAAATCCAAAGACTTGAGCCCCAGCATTTCTTATTTTCTGTGTGTCTTCTGCCTTCTTCACAGCCTGTAGAGCAGACAGGAATCTCCAGTATTGCTTAATTGGGTATTATGGCATTAGAAAAGTCTATCTACTTGTCCCAAAACCCTGTGTTCTTTCCAAAGCATCGATGTACTGTAGCGCAACCTGAAACACTATCATTTTCAAGTCCCTGTTCTAAATTCTGAACTGCGAGGGCGGTGCTGACTCTTTCTTATTTCTTTCTTCTTATTTTGGTTTCTTTTTTGCCCTCCACACGACAGCTGAAAAAGTGAGTTCCCTGGGGAAGAACTGGCACCGATTCTGCCTGAAATGTGAACGCTGTGACAAGACCCTGTCAGCAGGCGGACACGCCGAGGTAAAGCCCTGCTGGAGATGCTCAACCCTACCAGGGGCCCAGGAGACAGCAGGGAGAGGGAGATGTCTTGAGCCCCACGAGGAAGGAAGGCGAGATTCAGGGGGGGTGGTGGTGATATGGGGGGGGTAAATATCTGCAGCAGTGGCTACCCACTTTGGAGCCAGAGAACCAGCCCTTCAACTCTACCTTGCATAGCCTCTCAGTATCCAAATATACTGATCTCCAGTCAGGCATCTGAGAGCTCGTTTAGGAGGCCGGTCTTCAGGAGCAGGCCAGGAAACCCTGCTCTACAAGTGCTGTTTACTCAAGTGAGGCATGACTCCAGACGCTGTGGACTACAGGGATTCTTTATTCTACCACCACAGCGCTCTCATTTCACAAACAAGCATTTATTTTAATGGTCCAACGCAAGCTCTGTTTTTTTTTTTTTTTAGGCCTTAAGCTGCAGAAAACCAGAAAAACAGAGCTGTCACACGTAGCGTAGGCTGCTGAGCTGGATGCCTGCACTAGTATAGCTGTGGTGTGAAGTGTTAAAAATAACAGCCTTATATGATGAACCCTAGAACCCGGGCTCTTGTTTGCAGACCACATCCAGGAGGCCAGTCACCCAATATCAAAGTGTTCATTCTTGGAAGTTACCCAGATAATCGGTTGTAATTATGACATTTGAGGTGATTTGCTACTGTACATAACGTAATCTAAACTGTTGTCTTTGTAGTTTATTTTTTTTACTTAAATTACTTGATTTCCTGATGGTGGGAGTTTCTAATGCATGTTATTGGCTGCAATGTTATGTCTTGGAACCTTGCTAGGTAAGCACTTTTTACAGTCTCCAAGGTTTGTGAAATGTTTATGTAATCTTGAACTTGCTTAGGGTCGCATACCTGATGTTCAAAATTTGGCAGTTTTCACTCCCACACTGTTGGCGCGACTTTCTGGTGCAGTGTGCTGTTGGGCCCTGCCAGGACAGTGTGGATTTGGAATGGAAAACCCATTAATTTTATGTTGTGAAAGAGCAGCTTTGCCCGAGAGGTGCGTTTAGACATGTGCCTGTCACTCAGCACATATTCTTAAATTAGAAAGTGCTGCCGTGGAACGAGCCGGTGAGATAGAGGTGTTTGAAAGCTGGGAGAGTAGGGGCCGAATCCTATGGGCTGTAAGCTCAGCACTTCCTCTCACACCGTCCTGATCAAACAGAATCTGGTGTCCTTGTTCTTGGCATCATGCTTCCTTTACCGTTGTGTGGTTGTCTGTGCGTCACGTACGACTTATGCAGACTATGAAAAAATGTAAATACGGGGGTGCTTTAACTTCACAGTGTTCATTTTCTAAATTATCCTGGTCACAAGTGGGCAGCTCGGGGGATGTTACTGAGCAATGTGGATGAAGTCTTTTGTGTCGCCTTAAGACAGACATTTTTTAAAAAGGTAGGAAATGCCTCAGTTCTGTGCACTTTCAGAGTTTTCTGGAGGTTTCTCCTGCTGTACTCCCCGCTTTCTTGACATGAAATGACGTTTTGTTGTAGGTTGGGTTCAAGATTTGACAAGATGAAGTGCTAATTAGGCTCACAGCCTTAGAGAGCCTAAAGATGGAAGCTTGTAGAATAGGGAGTGTCCAGTCCGGGTGTCTCTGGGTTAACTTGGCTTTTTAATGAGCTAAACCAGCTGGTTAATGCCAAGTTAACTGGACAAATGTAAAAACAACTTCTCCAGGTGCTGCTGCTTTAAAGAGATTTTGACAACTTGCAGGCACTGGTTCTCCAAGACCAGGATTAGACACCCCCTGATGTAGAGTCATTTTTCTGCTTCGGAGTGGTTCCTATACAGTACATTACCAATGGAGTGGACTTGTGCATCCAATGTATTCTTGCAAAGAAGGTAATGGAGTTCTACCTTCTTGAGTTACCCCCCAAAAAATCAAATAAAAACCTAAATGTAGCATGGTTCAGCTTCCAAAATGTGCTCAAAGCAGGTCTTTCCAACCTTTTAGCTGATCACTTAAATTAGTCAATATTAATTCCATTTCTCTTTGTGTCATGTAGGTCCATGCTGTAGCTTTTTGGCTCTGTTCCCACATCAGTTAGCTACACTGTCAGGTGGGGAATGAACTGCTGTTTTTAGAACCTCAATGGGGGTGGTATCAACTGGAACAATCTGTAAAGTAGTCACATGAATCTTCATGTGCATATTACAACATAATAACCGGGAGAGCTGACAATGTAGAACCTGGAGCCACCAAGCACCCTGATGCGGTTGTCTTACCTGGCATGGAATTCAAGAAATGGAAGCTTAAGTCCCACTTGGTTCCAATAGCAAATGGAAGAAAAGCACTGCAAATATGAGGTTCCCAATAGTAACACCCATCAAGCCATATCTGAATCGTCCTTCCTAGGATTTACTTATGCAATGAATGTTCTAGAAGCAAATGGCCAGGGGGCCACCTGTCATAGTCCATCCTTGTCTCAAGGTTTAGAAATTGAAGTGTTCTTTTCACGTCCAGAACAATAGTTGGGTACATATAGTCATGTAGGGGATGATGGTACAAATTCCAGTATAGATTTTGGTTCTAGATCTGAGATCTGTGAGTAATTCCACTGGGGAATTACAGGTCAGATGTTCGGAAGTATGAGGGTTTCTCTGAGGGCTGTGGGTATTGGAAAGGGCTTTAATTCTGAAAACCGAATTCCATTAAGAAACAGAAGTTCTTGGATCAATAAACTTAAAACGTAATGGTCAAGGCAGGCCAGGTGGCCTTTGTTCAGTTGAGATCTAAGTTCTCATGTAACCTTTTCTCCTTTGACATCGCCATGAGCTGAAGAAGTGTAAAAATGCCATCCATTGCCTCGGTTAACCTGATACCTGTCCATTGACTGCAGGAATCCAGCTCCACTGCACAACGTGTGATATGCAGTGGGGTAAATGTCATGTTCAATTGTCCTGCGCCAAAAAACCCTGAGCATTTTCTGGTTCGTTGATCCGAAACCTGCCCGTTACAAATCCAGGACTTCTATTTTTGCCATGCTTGCAGTACACTGCCGTCCCTCGAGCATGCAAAGAGGTCTGCTACTAGCTGATTCCTGTTAATTTTTAATGAATCAGGGCTAGGATTTAAAATGAGACTCATTAGCACTTCGATGGCACAGCAGACCTCATTTTGAAGTATCAGATTCTCCCAGCACTTGTCAACTGGGAGACTGACTGGAAAAAAAAAGGCAGGTTTCACAATCTCTGATGAATTGAAATACTGTACCTTCGCAGTGCTGTCTGATTGGAAGTTAAAGCAGTGGAAGAAGAACCTTACACAACCAAATGTTCAGCAAAAGTTACATAAGTGTTTGGGTTCCATTTCAGCCACCTTGCCTGTAGCTGGAAGCTGTAATACAGGGGCCTGTTATTTACAGAACACATAATCCTAAAAAAACAATTGGAGACTGTTTCTCATTTTGCAGTAGCCCAAGAAGAAGTCTTCACTACTGAAGGAACTCCCTACTGGAAATGTTTAAGGGTTTTTAAAAGCTGCAGTGTGTTTGGTTTCATGATGGCATCTGAGGTACATGTTAGAATTTTTTCAGAATAATTTTTGTTTACTTTTTCTGCATTGCAGCAGCTGTTGTCCTTTAAATATGCACAGGTGTGTTATAGCACAAGTTACTGTACCTATTTGATGAGATTTGCCTTTTGCACTTTTCTCTACGATCTCCAGTACTAGAATGTGAAGAAGAGCTGGTGTAGTGTGGTATTTCTGAAAAGTGGTATCTGAAGAAAGCCATTTTTGTGAACTCATCACTTACCATGATGTCTTAATTGCCACATTCTTATCCCGGCCACTCTCTCAAGGATATACAGAGCATTTTGGATGTTCGTTTCAATGAACCTTTACTGGTAATAGTTCAGTTTAGCCAAGTAGTTTTGCATCTTCTGTAGTAATAGGTGCAGGAGTCTTGTTTCTGTAGTCTGAGAGTTTGGGAGGCATGGGAAGGACTTCTGAAATGGCAAAGGTCATATCCCATCAAGAAATAACATTATCAGTCTCTGGAAAGGATCACCTTCATTCCGGTTACAAAAACTATGGAGGAAAAAATCAAACTTTGAATTATCACAGATTAATTTCATGCATATAGCAGGCTTTGTTTATGTTGCAAATTTAATCTGCATTCTAATTAAACTGCTCTCATTAATAACTTTTCTATTCAGAATTCATCTGATTATGTTCCCCAAAATATTTGACATAATATAATCTGAAGTAATATAAAGCAGTTTATATCATAATGCAAATGGTGAATGTGGTTTAGATTATCCATTCCAAGAATCTTTAAGAAATTAATTTCCATTGGAGGGAGTGTTGGACTACTCGAGATAGCTGAGCTTTAAACTAGGTGCATTGATTCAAAATTGCTCTTGATTCAGTTGCAGTTTATGCACCTTTTGTTCATTTTGTTTTTGTTAATTGTCTAGGGCCATCGGCCCTGTAAGTTGTGGGGTCACCTTGTTTTTGTTGTGAATAATGACCCTAGAAGTTGGTCAGAATGGCTGCCTTGCTCTCTTCTCTCTTGGTCATAAGATCGGGTTTCTTAGCTGTCACAGGGTGTTTCTGAATAGTGAGTGTGGGATTGTCTCTTCAGAATACCTTTGGTTGTTTGGAGACTTTTTGAAGTCTCGTCAGAATTCTGCCAGCATTAGGCCTTTGTGTACAAACCCACAATGCCGTCTCTGATCAGAATGATGCTAGTGTTCCTCCTCCCTGTGGATCTCAATCAGCTGTTATATAAGTGCTCCCTTGTTTGGGAACTCTGGAAGCTGGAATAAAGCAGACTTTTAGGAAATAGTTTCCAAAATGTAAGAAATGTAGCTATCACAGCAGTCTTTACAGAGTGCTTACAGAGTGTGTGTTCTGTTTAAATTTAGTGTTATTTTAAAAATCTTTCCATTGAAAACTTTTTTTCTAACATTAAAGAACCCAGCTTCACAGAGCCATGCAGTTTTGCCTACAGAAAATACTGCCTTAACATGATGGGTTTTCCACAGTTGCACAGTTAACAAAATGTGATCCTCAATAAGAAGAGTTCAAAATATAGCTGCTGGAAATACCTTAAGCACCAGCCAGAACAGAAACTTTCATTTAAATTCTTGATTACCGAGATGAAAACAGAACCAGAATATTCAAGGGCTGGTTGTGTTAAGGCAATTGCATGATTCAAGATAGTGTTTGTTTACACAATGTGAATTCCTGCCTTAAAAGTTCTTTTCCCAGCCATGTTAATTAGACATCCATAAAAGTGAACATCTTCAAAACTAATGTTTAGCCTTACAGTCCATCACTTAAACTGTGAAGTGCCTAGACTGAAGGCTGTGGCTGCATATAAAAAAAGACTGTAATCATTATGACTGGCTGTCAGATTCCACAAAATTACTGAGTCTTGTGAAAAATGACAGCCATATATGATGCTGTAAAACTTCTATTTTTAGACATCTTTAATGCCGAGGGCTGATTTAGATGTTCATCTGTCTGCTGCTGATTAACAGGGGTTTCATATGTTTGCTCTTCTGCTGGACAATTCCCAAAGTTGGGGAAACAAATGGACTAAGAATTGCCATGTGTCCTGAGTTTCTTTATCCTTGGAATTGTAGACTGTGTGCTATGTAATGCATGGTGAACATCACGCATGAACATCCATACATGAGAACCACTCCTTCGAGCCCAGGAATCTGCTCTGAATTCTCTCCAGTCCCATTGCCTGGTCCAGATGTACTGGGTACACCCTTCCAGTACTGGTATCCTAGCCTGGAGTCCAGCCCAAAAACCCTGGAGCTGTGTGGCAGTAGCGCACACTGACAACATGCCACCTCCAAAATAGAAAACCTCTCTCTTCTTGGGGAATTGAACCCCAGTCTCCTGCATGGAAGACTAGGATACTTGGCACTACTCTAACTTGAGTAGCGGTATATAACTAAGCAGGAATTAGTGCACATACTGTAGTATTAAACATTTGTTCTAAAAGATCTGCTAAAAACCATTTAAAAGAAACTGCTTTCTTAAATGAAAGCATCTGGACCCCTGCAGGTCAGATTTAGTTTGAGCAGTGCATCAGTGTCTAGCAGTTAGTACCAAACGGAGTAGGAGCAGGTCCTCATTCTGGACTGAAATGAAAGAGGGTTCACCTTTGAATGACCTTGGCGTATGGGGAGAATGTTTGGGCGCGTCCTTATCTAGCTCCTGACGGTCTGAGCCCTGACATCACCTTGCATGTCTGTCTATTCCAGATAAGCTTAAGAGTGACAATAAGCAGCCACCCGCGCACAAGCCATCCCAGAATGGGCACAAGCTCGAGAAGGACAAGGCAATACAAGCTGCTGCCCCCGAGGGGGAGAGCTGTCTTTTTCTTTGAAGCCGCTGGGAGTTTTTTATGGAGTACCTTGAGACGCCATAGGCTATTATCGGTGGACATGACTTTCTTTGCTCTGCTTAAATCCACAAAGGCTTCTGCATTGCTGTACTTGATTGGTTCAAATGTTTATAAAATGGTTGTATGCACAGAATCACCGAGTATTTTCTACCTCGGATAAGCTGAGGCTATAGCTTTTCAACATCGATTGGCATAAGGTAAAGACAATGTAGGCACGGTAATTACAATATCTGAAGTAACACTTTTAGGAAGACGGACCCATTAGATTGGATTGTAATATTTTTAACAGTGTTCTGCCCGAGTCAGCTGAAAGCTTTTTCTGTTTTACTTTAATATTTGGATGTTGGGGTAAGTTATGGTACCGATTTTGTTCACGGGCCCAGCCGACTGAGTGAATTCTTGAAATGTTCTTGTAGCCAAACCACTGGCCCGGGTGTCTGGGTTGCTTTCACTTAAAGCAACATACCACCCTACGATCACATTGCACTACTTTTTCTCCCAGATTGTTCTGTGTGAAATGTCTTGACAAAGGCAATCTGGTTTTCGTGTGCCTGTTTTTGCTTTAGAGCGCTGTGAGTTTTGCGGTGTAAAGCGTGTCCCCGGGAAACTCTTCCATGCAGGGATCGAGCGGATGGCTTATTTGTGGTACACGCAGTCTGCTTGAAAACCACACTTCGTGTTCGAGAGGAAACCCGTAACGGTTATGGAATGTTTTCACATAGCAGTGTTGCTTTCTTTGAAGATTGGCTCGGGCGGATTGTTAAACGTTCTTGATTCCCCACCCACCCCCCCGCTCCAAAATTTAAACCAACGTCAAGACTTGAAACACATGTGAGTTGTGATCAAATTGGTATTGCCGGTTTGTTTCTGTTTTTTCCCTTTTAGCTGTATACAGTATGCAAATATTTAAAATGGATGAATCTGTTCAGTGGAGTGTTTTAAGCTTTTTGCAGTATGGCGCATGCTCTTTCAGTACTGTCTGTCAATGTGCAGCTGCAGATGTCGAGTGGCAGTGTTTAATCTATGAAATATTTACTTACACCTCTGAATTCCCAGAACAGGGTGAGTTATGAATCTGCCATAAGTGACACAAGTCGCAAGTGTTTAAATCTTATTTGAACCCACCCTTCTTCGGCTGTAATTTATACAATGAAAACAGTGGTGTGTAAATACAGGTCACACACTGTATTTGAGGTGTGGCGAACACTGGTCCAGGAAAGCAACAGTCCAGTTAGATTTATGGGTCGCACTTTCAGTAAATGATCAGTTTGCTTGAAACAATGGTGGTTGTAGTTCAGTTAAGTAGCTTAGAAATGTGTTGCTCTCAAGAACAAATCGAACTAATTATGGCACTAAATTGATTAAAACTCACATGTGGTCCAAGTCTTTCAACATTACAGTTTTAAGGTAACTGTAAGAGCTGGTGGTTTATTCTTTATTCTTCAGTATTGGCCATCTCTGTATTAAGAAATTTTGCACCTGTCTTTCAATTATGTAATTGAACATAACTTTCCAGTTATGTAACACTGTGCTGAAGAACTGTTCACTCTCTCTTTAAGAGTCTGTGAGCTGATATTCAGCATTTATTTTAAGAAATTGCGAGGGTAGGAGGTCGCATTATGGAGCATTGAGGATTTTTAATTAATTACCTGACTGCTGCTTCTCCGACATTAGTTTTTAATACAAATATTAAATTGCTTTTAGGGCCTTGGAATGTGAAGAGCATATGGAAACCGTTTGCTAAAAATATCGAGATGAGAGAAGTGTTTGAAAGGAATTTTTGGCAGAGTTTTCACAGAATGCTTGTCACATCATTCAAAAAGCTAGTTCCATCCGGAGACTGAAATAGGTCTTGTTTGAGGAATTATTGTCCAGTTGGTCAACTAGTGACCCTGTTCTGGTCAATAGTTGTATGACGAGGCAATATTTATGAATATTTATTTATAAATAGAATTTATTTATAAGACTCTATAACATGTTTAATGTCTGTCCATCAATTTGAAACTATTGTTGTGGATTTTGAAAAGAAAAGGCTGGTGTTCCCAAGTGCTAGGAAACTGCCTCTATTCCTTTATTATGGCCATAATCAAGTTAAATTAGAAATAAGTCTGTCTGCAAACACCTATATTCTGTATTGCACTTTTCGGTTTTTGATCTCCCTGCCGATGTTGTATATTGATGGCAATACATAAATAGAAAAGTAGTCTTCTTATGTGTTTTTGAAAGTTGTGGGTTATTTCAAGGAATGGTTCACCAGGCTGAACAGCTGTAAATATCACTTGTTAGACCAACATCACATCTGGAAAGAAATTCTAAAATGTTTTCCTCTTTCATTTTACAGCATGATGGAATGCCATATTGCCACAAGCCATGCTATGCAACTCTTTTTGGGCCCAAAGGTAAGAGCAACACAAGGCTTTTCTTCAGGATATTGGCATGCAGGACAATTCATACTTACCGTATCAGCCACCCAGAAAGTGCCATCTTTTCCTTTATCTCATTGCTGATTTCTATAGAGAAGCCTATTTCTTGCCCATGAATGAAGACCACATGCAAATGAGATCTTGATTTGATCAAGTGCAACTGCATGTGGTTTTGCATATTTGTGTGAATGTAGCTCCTGTGTTGAGCTGTTGAGCAACTGGAAACCTCTTGTGAGAGACTGTGGTCCTAATTAAACTGGAAGCGAGGAATGACGCATGATGCCTTTTACTACAGGCTGGTGTGACATTCTTGGGCATTTTCCCCCCTGTGCCTCAGTCTGTTTGGTTTCTGTTCTTGTTTACATCCCACACCCTCAACAGCCTAAAAGCAGATTGTCTCCCTGTTGACGTTGGATTTCGAGGCCTTTGAACAAGGTGCATCTCTATAAAACCCTTGTTAGAACACAGTTCAGCTCTTGTGCTGATTGAATGCTGACTGGAAGTCAAGTGACCCATTAAAAACAAACGTCTTGCGGACATTGTGTAGGATTAGTCAAGGGGTCTTTCTAGATCCTTAACTGACAGACCAGAACCTTCCTTGGAATCGGTGTCTCTCCTAACTCAGTTAATATGTACTTTGTGTGTTATTAATTCTGGGATTGTCCTATGTACTAGGCAATGCCCTGATGAAAGATGTTAATTTCTAAAATGGAGTTTTTAGTAAAGTACTCAGTTAGATTTGCCAATTTTATGTTTTCCTTTTCTATTTTGTTTTCCTGTGGCACACCTACAGTACATTTCCCCCCCCCCCACAATAAAATAGACAAACCTGCCATTAACATTCCATGGGGAGTAACAGTATAGCATTTACCAAGACGAAAGCACTTTTATAGACCACAATCTGAGAAATGTTTGAGAGAACAAAGATAATTTACCATGTGAAATAGTAACAAATTAGACACTTGAGGCTTATTATAGTAAATACTTCACTGTAATTGGAAGGATGAAGTTGCACTGTTATGATATAAAATATACTCAACAGTTATTGCTGGTTTGCATGCCTGCTTCTCATTCTTTCTTTATTCCTGCCCTTTGAAAACCAGTCAGGCTCCTTTTCCAGGTGACAGGCTATCTGTCCTATGGCACGATACGCCCTGAGGCTTGGAAAAACTGGTTGGTACAGCAGAATATTTAAACTGTCGACCCACTGTTTAAATATGTTTGGAATTCGCAATTCAATTTGCATTTGATCTATGTATTGAATGTTCACAGATGCCGTGCACAACCCAAATGAGAAATATTCAATGAAGTTGCAGTGGCATGAAATGTCATTATGCAGGCATTGTCAGCATTGCTGACTCAGTGGATGACAATGGGAAATTTAATCATTCCTAATTAAAGTATCATCCTAGAATGTATTTGCATCACGCCTTTGGTCTTGAAGACTGCTAAAGCTTTTGTTTTCTCTTCCAACTCTTGCATAATAACTCTAATTCACCCAGTTTGAAATATTTAAGATGCTTTTTAAAAAAAGTGCTTTGCACTTGTTAAAGACATGTTGAGGGGTGGAGAAACAGTCTGGGGCCTGGGAAAAGTTGTAGTCAATAATTTGAAAAATTATATCCCGAGGATCTGGAAATGAGTTTGACAATGTTGGGCAATTCTCTTAAAGAAGTTTCAAAGGAAACCTGGTTTTATTGAACTACAATCCTTGGTCACTTGCTTGCTAGTAGCTTCTTGATTCAAATTCTTTTCCAGATGTTTCCCTTAGGATTACAGGGAATCGGATTCACCAACATGGCAGATCAGTTTACACCAAGGGCTCTCTGTACACTTGGTATAAATGATTGCTTCTCAATTTCAGTCCTAAATGCCCTCTTCCTTAGTTTCCACATGTCAGGTCCTTGTTTCATTGTTGTCCAAAGAAACCCTCTAGGCAGACTGTCAAGCCCTTTTTAGGACCGAGGGGGATGCGATACAGGTATTATAATCCTTTCTTCACAAAGGAATTCATTGGCTTTAACCTAGCCGGGCAGTGATGTCGTTTTTCTAACACGGTGCCCAAAATTCTGGACTCCATATACTGCATGAGGTCTTGCCTTTGCCTTTGGTATTATTTTAACATGCCTTCTTTTGACTTAAATTGTGTTTTTTTCCGCTATACAATAATTTTTCGTTGGTCTTTTTTTTCCATCCTAGTCATTGGTTTGCCCACAAACACAACGTCTTATAAACAGAATGTATCTTCCTCCTTTCTCACCAGTCTTGGTGACATGAAATTTAATTTGCTATGTATCTGAGTACTACTGTGTGGTGATAGACTATTTTGTCCGCATTAAGATTTCTAAAGCATCGATTCCCTTATTTCAGTGCGTTTTGCCAGGTTTGCCTATACCAGAGTCTAGATTAGTGGTATAAATCAAAGATGCAGGCCTAAAGGGAGACCCCTGTGATGCACAACTCATGAACACAGTCCAATTGAAAGTCTGTTCCCTGAACTTTTATATCCATTACTCAGTCATCATAATCAGCCCATTTACATCATCACACAAGAAAAACAAATAGCACTATGTTAAACTTTCATTTTTGAGAACCTCTGGATAGTTGGTACATAGTAATGGTGCCATTCTCTAAAATCTCTAAAAGCTGGTACCCTGGTAACTTTCAAGAAATGTTTGAATGAGATCCTGGGATCAAATAGCTAGTAGAAACAGATAAATAATTGGGGTGATGACATCCTCTCATTGTATGTTTAACTTCAGTATTCCTTCTGCTCAATTAAAACAATATACTGTATGGCAAAATAGCCTTGAGAAAGAAAAGAGCTACAAATGGAGCCTGTGCTAAAGTTCAATGACTCTGAAAGTAAACTGGAAAGTAACCATTACTTGGTGTCATTGGCTGTAAAAACATCAGACTACTGCTGACCTTAATTGTGTGAGGAGGATGCTGGGATACAGTGAAGCCAGATGCCAGAAATTCACAAGCATGATTTTAGATGGCGTTTTCTTCCGAGTTAAAGCCTCATGATGCACTGCATGGTTCCTAATTATTTGCATTGCCGTTGGCTACTTACTGTGCATGGTGTGTCTGCAGGACGTGCAGCTTGATTGTGTTATTGTGATGAGTGAAAACTGGGTTTAACATGAAGTTCAGTTACCCCTAAACTGCAATCCCCTCTCCATACAAATTTTCCACTCCACAGAATTTCCTGTTGTCCAGAATTTGGCTAAAAAGGTGTAACATCTTAACAAAAAGGAGGACATCGCAGATGAGGAACATGGAATAAGTAAGATACAGTACTTAGATGAAACAATTTGCTGTACTTCTCAAGTAGTTCACACGTAGTTTTCTTAATGGGAATAAATTCAGATTTCTCTGGGATTTGAGCCGCTGGTAGTTTCCAGGTTTACAACATACAGCATTATAACCCTCGCAGATGAGATGTGTGTGGGGTCTAGGCTGGAGTGTCACCTGGCTGCTCTCTCTCTGTTCCCCAGGTGTTAATATCGGGGGAGCAGGGTCTTACATCTATGACACCCCACCACCCACGCCGGTCAGCAAATCTGCGGACAGCCCCGTCGAATGTTCTCCCACCACCCCCTGGACCCCCACCCAGGTGGCTCGCCCGCAGCCCAAAGGTAGGGGATGCTGGGAAGAGTATTGACTAGGAGGAGTCTCCAACTGCAGCTTGGCTCCATTTTACTCATCGGAAGAGCTTGAAATGAATACCAATCCCTCTGCAATTCGCAAATTGGATTATCATCAGATTGTTTGACTTTGTTTCAATTGCTAAGAGAACTTTTACTATTACGGGGACGTACCATATAGCATCATTTCATTAAAGCAGGACGTAATTAGCATGCCCTCATTTTGTAGAGCTGTGCACCAGATCCTGTTGGCTTCTGTGCTCTAGTGAGCATGTGCTATCTTTTCCAAAACCAACTACTGTAAATGCATTTGTTTGAATTTCATTATGAATGGCATTATTCCTAACTGTTTCAATTTGGTCTCTGTGCAAGATCTGATTTTGTCCACAAACACAATCTATAAAATAATGTGCCATATGTTGTTCAGTAACAAATTAATTGGCCTAATTAAGTTGAGTTTTTAATATATTTAATAAGAGTAGGCTCTGTAATCTTTGCAAAGTAAGAAATCACAACTCATTTTCTTCACCAGCCAAGCTGATCAGTGTGGACAATCCTGTTATACAGTAGAAAACCTAGATTGTTTCTGTTTGTGGTCAAGACTATTTTCATCTTAAACCCTGCGTAGAATCATAAAAGTGCACATTGGGATTGTGTGAATTTGTTTAGCTGTTGTTGTTTTTTTTTGTTATGAAGGGGTGATATGGTTAATGAGAAAACATCACTGTGAAACTGGGACCTCAGCAGCACGTAGCCTGAAGAAACCGGATTTCAATCAGATAATTTTCTTTTTGGTTCCAGAACATTCTTCAGAACTGCTCTGAAATGAGCTAGTGGGCTTAAAATAGAAGTATTATTACAGTGTCAGGGGAGTCTCCACTAAACGTTTATAATGAGCCTCTGTGTACTTAAGGGAGGAATTTTAATTGATCAGATTTAATCTTGTTTCCTAAAATCTTTGTTTTAATGGGTCTTTTCCTACTGGAGAGCAGACAAAATATCTCTGCACTTTAGATTTGGGATATTCAAAACACAGACCATGGGCCTTGTTAGCTCCTTCTGTGAGGGAGTCGGGCTGCGTTGTTGGAATTTGAAATTGCTTCCTGCCATCTTGCTTGTAAAGTTCAAACCTTTTTTTCTTTAATGGGAACATTTGTTTTAAACATTTTTCTGATTTTTATGTAGGAACACAGCCTTCTGGAATTCTCCTTTTAATGAAAATGTTGGCTGCTATTTTAGAACTATCTCTCAAAAAATGAACGAAAAACAAGATTTTTCAGAGCTCTCAACAAAATCTTTGGTGAAATATAACCTCATGTGGTAGTTTTCCTTGTTCTGTCAGATTTGAAACATTCCTTCAGTCATACCACAAAATATCCTCAATTAAAAATACAAGACAAAGTGCTGTATAAGACATCGTCTTTCAGGGAACTACTGAAAGAGCTTGTAAAAACTGTTTTTTAAACTAGTCATTTATAGATGGTAAGAGAAGTTAAAGATGTGACTGAGAAACCAAGCACCTGTCCGTGTTGCCTGGACATTGTGCACTAGTCCTTTCTAACTTTTGGTTAGTGCCAGAGAAAATAAAAATCAGCTATACTGTATATAAATCCTTTTCCTGCTGGTTGGAGGTAAAACGGACAGGCAAAAGTGTATTTTGTTAAGGAAAATGAAGGAGGATAATTACCTTTAAGTCTCGTTTATTGGTGAATGACATTCAAAAGAGATTTTGGATATCTAATTAGGAGATTAATCTTACCCCCACTAGCACATAGACATACACATCTCCCACCCACAATGGGGTCTGTAGTCTTCATTTACATATTGCAGATAAAATTGGCTGTTCCAAGTCGGTGAAAATGCTGCAAACAGGTCTACACCTGAGTGGGAGTTGCGGAAAGCTTGTTGCTATGGTGACTTGGGTTCGCACAATGAGTTTTAGGACTGCAGGGCTCTGCTTCCGCCTTGAAACTCCTTTGCTCCCTAACTGCTGGGGAATTAAGTGGGCAGCTCTCGGGCTGTTCTGTTTAAACCAGGTAATGGTATTTCAAACCAGCCCTTTAAGCTAGCAGTGGTGATTGAGGGTTAACTGGCGAGATGAGAGAAAAGTTGACATACTTGGGACACCCTGTCCAGACCTAAAAAAACCCCACACATTTCTAAAACGGTGCGGCATGTCGAAACATCATTGATTTGAAAGTAAGTAATACACTATATTGTACAGTGTCATACATGGGGCTTAGATGTCATAGATGTAGATCTCTGGATCTTGGCCTCAAGAGTTTAAAGTGTGTTCACTGATCTGTCACCAGTTGGGCCAACTTATGTGAAGACGTTCGCTGGAGAGACATCACTCTGCCCTGGGTGTGGGAAAGTGGTGTATTTTGGTAAGTGATCAAATTTCCCCCCTTTGTCTGGAAAAAAATCAGGTCAGTTCAAATACTAGCATGGTGTAAAAGGCAGGAAAGCCAAGTCCATCATGAAACAATGTACAATTTACAAAAGAAACATGTGGAGTAGATTAAAGAGCGCGTACAGTAGTTAGCAGAGATTGGGATAACACTTTGAATGAGGTTCTATGGAACCAGCCTAAAACTGCATACAGGCTATTTTAAATAACGTGTCATATACAATAGTCTTCATGAATATCCTAACCATAACACATTCTATGATTTTCCTAGTGACAAATGTTTTGTGCTCTGAATACATTTAATGTTTTGGAATAATGGTTTCATAGAACCTCATTCAAAGTGTTACCCCACTCTCTGCTAATTAAGCACTCTTTAATTTACTCATAAACCAATGTGGATGTTGTTATAGTGCCATAATGTAACTTCTGTAAGTATTGTGCTGGTTACATAAGACCACATTCTAATGAGACTGTTTAATGTCTAATGTAATGTGCTCAGTGACTTCTTTGACAGTCATGTTGAGGTGCATTCTTCTGAAGTATTTCTTAATTGTGGTCTGAAGTAGGAAGATTCCATGGCACAATATCAGATATTTTTCATTGTACATTTCACATTTTCAGCCCTAAGGATCTTAGTAAGAAGTATGGCTAAACTCTGAAAGGAGAGATACTCCAATGTTTCAGTGCTGCCATTCGACCAGCAAGAACAGAAAAGTACTGACAAAATTTTCTGATCGGAAAGCTGAAAAGTGTAGCTCAAGACAAAATTGTTGAAAGGATTTGCTTTGAGTCTAGTAAAATAATTACGGGTTTCAGTATTGCTCAGGATGTACTCTACAATTAGGCCAGACTAGGCACAGTCATAGAGAATAGCATCTCTTTTCCTAAAGAACCTCAGCTCGGCGTGTGTCATTTCATTTATTTTGGCTTGCTTTTAAATTGAAGGGGAGCAGCTCTTTAAAAGCACAAAAAACTGGGAGGAACATCCATGCACTGACAGTGGAGAAATGTAATATTTCTCTTGTAAAACCTGTCACAACCCGTCACATTTTCCTTGACATTTTTCTGTACTTGGTGGCATGTGGAAAGCTGAACAAGGCCCCTTTCTGGACTTGAGTTAGCGGTGGGACTGTTTTAGCCAGAGGATCGTGTTAAATGCTCCACGTGGCTTAAATGTGGAGGCTGGTCTCTGTGTGGCAGCAACTGGGAGCCTATTTCCTTTTCAGCATAAAGCTGAATGTACAGATTGTGCACTTTTGTGCTTTTAAGGTCTCGGCATTTCAATAAAGGAAGCATGTCTATTTCAGGGTTGGTCCCAGGTTAAAAATAACTTGGGGAGGCTTCTCACGGCTTCATAGCATAGCCTTTTTCCTCAGAATGAATGGCTTATAGAAAAGGCAAAGTCGCAGCAGATGTATGTTCACAAATCTAGATCAATATTTTTCTTTTTCTTTAAGGAAAATATATTTTTCACCTTGAACTGAACTGTTATTCAAATAAAATCCTGGTAATTGATGCCTGACATCAGCCTCTTGTCCATTTCAAAGATAGCATAGTATTCCTTGGTGGGATTATAGTGCAGAAAAAAAGTCCTTATGCAGAGTTTTAAAGAAACTCTTGCTTTGCTGAGCTTGCTCTGTTTGGAATGATGAACGCCCACGCTGTGATCTTTCAGATGCCCAAGCTGCACTCTGTCGGCTGTGTGCATTGTCAGTGCTTTTTGCCTGTTGGATGTTTTCCACCACAAGTCACCAACGGTGGCACCCTTGCCCTCCCTGTACTACAGACTGAGGCCTGTCATGAAAACTACACCCAGGCTAAAGTCAGCCTCAACCTACAAGGATCTCAACAGCTAAAAACCAGCCTTGATACCTTTTTAATTTGCTGTCATTTAGAAAACCACCTTTCTTTATTTCCAGGTTAAATTCTCCAGTTTTTCAATTCAATTTCAGTTTTTGCTGCACTCCCTCAGCCATCAGTAGTAACCACGTGTTTGCGTGTTCTGCAACATACGTTTTAAGCCCCTTTGTTTGAAAAGGGCAGAGCTGGTGATGCAAATGCCCCAGAGGGTCAGAGATCTCAGGCCAGCGAAACCCCAAGTGCATGTGAGGAAGACCGCTTCCTTGATTTTTTAGGGGGGGCTTCTGCAAGGTTAACAACATTAGAACATGAGGCTACAATCAAGAATCAGCCATTTGGCTCATCTGGTCATTTAGTAGCTGGTTAATTTGAGGACATGAGGTCACCCCATGGTCTTCGTGTGAACTGAGTTTTTGCACAATCAAACATAATTTCTGTCTTGGTGTTTACAATAAAGCGCAGGAGAAAAGTTCAGAGCTGATGCAGTTTTAGTAGATGTTATAAAAAAAGGAATGTCATAGACCTGGCTCTTTTCTGCACACCTTCTGATCCAGGGTTCAGTGACTTCATTGTTTTGCTTTGCTTCGGCCTTCTCTGCAGCTGAGAAGGTGATGTCCCTAGGCAGGAACTGGCATCGGCCCTGTCTGCGCTGCCAGAGGTGTAAGAAGACGCTGACCTCTGGTGGCCATGCTGAGGTATAATCCCTTTATTGCACTGGAAGAAGGCAGATTTGCAAATGGGTCTCCCCTGTTCTTCATGTGCTGTGGGCCACTGGCTAGTCAAGATTCTGTCCTGATAACACCCTAGGAAAGATTTTATTGACCTTTTGATTGCAAACTTGATCGTTTAATAATGCCATACATATGCACATATTTAAGAATTCAGTAGGTGCACTGTTTTGCAAAGGAATATAAGAATTTCACTTACAAGACTGAGGACTTAATGCATGGTGGCAGTGTAAAGGTATTCCATAATTTGATTTGGTATAAAGGAGCATCTGAAGTGGATTGTTTGCCTGGGATAGCATTGAATTACTTGACATCACTTCATGGAATCTTTAGTCTTCCTCTGGCAAGACTTTTCAACACAAAACAGTAGGCTGCCCTCTGGTGGCTTACTAATAAATTACACTTTGAAAACGAGAGCCCTGATGTCTTTTTCTGGATAAGAGCAGCTTTCTGCTACAGACTACACTAATGGGGTACATAGATTCTACTTGTTCAACTGAAACAACTGGGGCAGATACCTTTTTAGACGCAAAATTTCACTTTTAAAGTAGAAATGCTACATGTACATAATGTACATAATTTGGTAGCATTTCCAAATTAATTTTAAGATGCAGGTGATCAACATTACGAGTCAATGTCTGTACAGCTCACAATGAAAGTTGCAACAAAATGCTGAGGACTGATCTTTCTTCAGGCTTAAATAATAGGAATAACAGAAATCAATGTCCTCACTGTATGTATGCAAAGAAATGTGATATCGCAGTATGTGCTTATGTTGTATTTTCTTCTTACAGCATGAAGGGAAACCATACTGCCATGTTCCTTGCTATGGATACCTGTTTGGACCAAAGGGTCAGTTGAACTGTAACTTGATGGACTTCACTGAGCCTTGTAAACCCAGCTGCCCCTACAGCTTATGCAGGATTTCTTTTTGAATCTCTTCTTTTGTGTCTTTGACAGTGTGCACGCATCGATGCTCCTCAGTAAAAGTTCAGTACAGTAACACATTTAGAATGACCACTATTTATAAAGAGAAGAAAAACCTCTCTATTCCAGTACTCAAGCTTGGTTTCCCTTTAATGTTCTTCATTTTGCCAAAAGTGTGTGCCAAGTTCATTTACCAGTCCAAAACATATACTATAGATGGAAATGGGCTATCCTGAATGGATCACATGGCTGGGTACTATTCCATTTCCTGTAGCATGTAAGAAATATCAGACATCCATGGAGGGAACATTAATCTTCCAGGCTAGTGCTGATAACCTCTGAATACCCTGATGCCTTTGATCAATTCAGAGGTTAAGTATTCTACTTATGGCTACAATATTGGTGTCTGCAGTGCAGGGTCTGAAACTTCCTCCTAATCACTGCTCTGTGCTCCTAAACAGGCTGTTTGCAATAAAAAATGAATGTACAGTAGACTGAAAGAGGAAATTACATCGCCTGCCTTATCTTTCTGCTCTAGGAGTGAACATCGGTGAAGTTGGGTGCTACATTTATGACAAAGATAGCGAGCAGTCAGAAATATCCAGCCAGTCTTAAAAGGGAATGCGCAAGGTAGGTATTTTAAATGGTAATGCTTTCAAATTATTAAAGTTTAGTCAAGACTATACAGTACTTTGTTTTTACACTTTTTATGTTTAGCAATTTTCAGAATTTTGAAATGTGCTTTTGTTTTAATGTGACTTTTTTCACATGGAGGAGGCTCTTGTTTTATAACTTAATATAAATGTTTTATTTTAGATTCACTGGAAGGAACAAAACAAATGAACAGCTGCCGATCTTGACATTTTTGAGCTCTTAGTTTTGGACTTACTGCTCCTTTTTATAAAACTAATATAATTCTAAGTGTATTAAATATGAAATGGTAGCCTTGAAAGTTGCTTTGTAATTAGCATATGTCATTCCATTAAATGTGTATTAAAGAACAATGCCTTGCAATACATTATGCTCAGTATACTGCCCAATCTCTGCATTTAATATCTCGGTTGAAAAAGTGCTCTGTATTCAGATTTAATTTTCATTTTCGATGTAAGCTAAAACTTAGCAATAAAATGTATTTAAATAAAATTGGTAAGAATTCAGCCTGATCTCCTATACTTCTATTGTTTTTTCCCCCCACTTCCCTGTGTCCGATCCAAATTAAGTTCTATTTTGAAATGTGTGAATTTACTATTTTACTGCAATATTGCATTTCAGAAAGAGCCTAGATAGATGGGCTCTCTCCCCTTCAGATGTGTGGGAATAAAAAATTCTCCCATTGCAGCCAGGTCCTTATTTAACCTTTTGATGCAGTATAATAACTTCAGCAATTTCGTCAGTCTCTCTAGTGACCACTTATTTCTGCTGCTGTGAGCGCAAGGGAAACAGAGCACTTTTGCAATGATTGTACTTAAAGAAACTCTCAAAATGTATTTCAATTTGTAGGATTTTTAGTGGATAACAAATGCAATCCTCAGATGTTAAAATCACTAAGTCTTTCAATCCTGTTGATTTGACGTTGGATTGTTAGATTATAGAGAAATATCGTGTGCATTTGGTTACTGTGTGCATAGGCTTTGACAACATTTCTGTATGGAAAGTGTTTTGCAGTTGATCTGAACTGTACTGTATTTTACATTTGAAAACCTGGTGGCTTCTTGGTCAGGCAGCAATGAATCATTCATCATAAGACTCAACACAAATACATTCGTGATTTTTTAAAAGTAGTAACTTTTCATTTCAGCATTTTGTAAAAATGTTGCTTATCTTTGTTGGCTAAGACTTTCGGTAATGTATTATTATTTTTGACTTGCCAAAAAAGGTCAATGCTTTATTTAAGGATTGTATAATGAAGCTACTGTGCATTTGTCTTGTGTTGAGTGTGCACTAAGCTCTTAAGCTCATCTGAAAGATGTTAAAATTATTAAAATGCACTGCTGTTATGCTGTATCTTTCAAAATGAAGTGCAAGGAATAAATGACAAATTAAAATAGTAGTACAATGGTTTTAATTGAATGACAGAATGTAACATTACAAAGGTCATTTGTAGAACTGTAACATGAGCTGATATGCATTCAAGCCATTAATACAAATGTCTGTAGTTTGAGCCTTGCAGTAAGAGAACTCGATATATGAATATTTAAACAAAATGCATAGTAACTGTAGTAGTTGATTCATATTTATTACAGTCTTGAATAAAAATTTTTGACACTGTTGGAGTGTTTTTATTGTGGGAGTTATGAGAAATAAGCTTTCATGGTTGTATTGATACATGGAGACTTCAAGAATTTCATTGAGCCTTACAATGAATTGAAAATGCACATGATTTATTTTTTAGAAGGTCTCTGTATGCGTCTCCTATTAATTTTTCAGTTTGATGGAAGCAGTCTGTCCAGGTGGAGGTTGCAGCATGTTAATAAGAGGTGCAGGGCTCAGGGAGAGACTGATCACATGGCTACTGTCCTCCTGGACAAGACCACAGTGGGAAACGCAAGCCAGAGTTCTGGAGCCGTGAGGTTCCAGGAGACCAGTTGCTCTACCATGCCTGAAACTACCATGTTGCTGGGGAAAAGATTTCTGAATTTAATTTCTTTTTAGTAAATTTGCATTTTAGGGGAATAAAATGCTTTTACCATTCAGCCTAGTTCTGGGCACACCTGGTAGATTGGCAAGATTCAGAGGTTCTTGAACATCGTTTTTGGTCCAAAGATCCCAAGATCTCATTCAGTCATTTCAGGAGTTGGATGTTAGCTTTGCGAAGGTAACTGGACATATGTCTTAAGCAATTCTTTCTACATCTTGCTTTAGAAGCTTCTCCAATCTATTTGCTGCACTTAAATGGTGCCACCTTCAAGGAAGGTATTTTTTTAATGAAAAATGTAATAAATCGCTCTTGGGGATGGGGCATGGTGGTGTAGGGGTTAGTATTGCTCACTCACAGAGCTGGGGTTCTGGGTTCAATTCTGGACCTGGGGTGCTGTCTGCATGGAGTTTTTATGTTCTCCCCGTTTCCCTCAGATTTCCTCTGCACACTCTGGTTTTGTACGGGTAAGTTAATTGGCTTCTGGAAAGATTTGGCTCTGGCACAAGAGTGTGTGCGTTTGTATCTGCGTGTCTGCCCTGCAATCTACTAGTGTCCAGACCAGGGTATATCCTGCCTTATGTCCATTGCTTGATGGGATAAACTCCATCTCCCTCAGCAGCCCTTGGATAAAGCAGTTACAAGATGGATGCATGGATCATTTTTAAGCTTCGTCTTCATTGGTATTTCCACAGGCAGACCTCAGTGGAATGTTGCCTTTTTCTTGGGCTGATATACCAATGACAGTCCTGTAACACAAAGACAATCTCACAAGTTCTGAAACTCGGTTGAAAAGTCGTATGTAGACTAGGATTATTTTTTAAAGAAAACAGACACTTTTCAAAACTTGCAGTGCATTGCGTGATCCAATTTCAGATTCCAACAATCCCTAAGATTAATCCATTAATGAAATCCCTTCTGTATTACAGACTTAATTGTACTAGGAAGCTTGGTTTGTTCCTAGGGTGACGGGACTGATTGGCTGTGTATTTTTAGACCTGGCATAGCTGCTGCGCTGTAAGCCTTACCTGCGTTGTTCAACATCGTCGATTGTTTCTGGGAGGTGAGCATTGAGTGTTTCAGGAAGTAACCAAGCCAGAGTCCCAGAAGCAATGGCCACTGTGCAGAAAATTACTTGAGGGAGGAACTTCCACACGTCCTCCAGCATCATAATTAATGGAGCAATGGACACTCCCAAGCGAGCCAGGAAGGAATTGTAGCCGAAGCCATTTTGTCTGGATGGAAACGAAGGAACACAGCAGTGATATTGACCCCAGGTTCTAAATCAGGGTTCTCGGTGCGTGAAGGGCTATGGTGTATTCCGGTTTCTGTTCTGCATGAACCATGTTACAGTTGGCTTATTAATTAACTGAATAAATGTAAAACTTCTGATCATAAGTTGATATGGAATAAGTAAAATACTACAGAAGTTTCTTAATGATCAAGTTGAATAAACTGTGATATCCTATTCAATAGGTGGGTTACTCCTATTGTAAGTACTCCTAAGTAAGTTGGGGGAGAGGTGCAATTCAAATATCTTTATTAGAGTGAGTCATCTGGCTGAGGAGAATGAGTAAGCAAACCCCCCCCTCTTTAATGAGATATTCATACATAGATAGGCAGAAGTGGGCGAGACCTTGTTGACCTTCTGAATCTTTAAATTGATAGCTCAGTGCAAATAGATATTAAGTATTAAGTCCAGCTCACTCACCTCACGACTGTAGGGTAGAGCTCAGCTGTGTACAACAAGATGATAGTGAAGGCTGCTTCGCCTAGGCCCTTCCCAATAATCGCGATGACGGTGCGCAAAATCTGCAGGTCTGTGTAATATGGAAAAAAAAATGCAATGTAAAGGTTTTTTCAATCCACTGTTTTAACCTATGGAGATTTGAACAACCCTGCAGATTGACTTGCACACAACCTTGAGCCATTTACTTTTTTTTAAATGTTTTTTTTTAAAAGCATTTTTGAAGTACACTCTTTGTCCACTCTCAGAAAGCCATGTTTTGTGGAGAAAGTTGCAGCAGGCAGGAGCCTAGTTTGTAAGTACAAGGTAGGAGGACTGAGGGCACATGACTCCTCTTGTTCTGTTTGGGATGGCAGCTGGTTGCAAGTCTGCAGAATAAGGGATGATCTACAGCCGCCAATCAGACCTAGCCAGCATGTCTTTAGTGGGTTAAAGGAAACTGGAGCACATGACATGGAGAGAAAATTCAAACTCCACACACACAGTGCCTTGAGCCAAGAACCTAAGAGCTGTGGGGCAGTGATGCTAATAATCAGCAATGTGCCATCTTCAATTTATCTCTCAGAAAGTCACTTGGCCTTGTGAGAAGAACATTCTTAATCGCACATTATATGAGAAATAGGGATGGCCACCAACACTACAGTAAAGGGCCACATGCTTAAACCAATATCTCCCTAACTGATGTTTCAATTTGAAATGAAACATTTCAGCTGCCTGCAGAGACTGGAAATCGCAGTCTCTGTTCTTTGGCAAAAAGAGGAGCAATCTTATACCGGTGACAACATGTTGTTGTTTAAAATCTGGTTATTATAGGATGTTGTATCCATGGATAGAGCGATCCATGTCGTATTAAGTCCCTAGAAGGTGGTAGTGTTTGGAGAGAAATTGCACCTAAGTGTCTGCATTCCCACATGTGTGCACAGGAATCCAGATAATGGTCAATTTAAGATTTCCTTTAAAAGGGAAGTAAATGCTTCAGAAAGGGTCCTCTTGGACTGTTCTGAGAATGTCTATAGGCAAACCCAGTAACGTACTATTTCTATCTTGTAGGATCAACGACGCATAGGGAACCAGGTTACTTGCTCACTGTGATTATGGGCTGAATTGGCTTGGTTTAAGCTTCATGTCTGACAACCATGGGCAAAGGGAGAAGCATGGTTTTCTGTTTAATCAGATTTAAAAAAAACACTTGTCAATAGTGATACCACCACTGAGCTTACTCTCTGAGGAACCTGTTTGCTCCTATTAGGTAAGAAGTATCTGTGATAAATGTGTAGGGTATCAAACATGAACAGTACAGCCTGTGTTCTATTTGGATTTCTTCACCTGCTTCTCACTGTGGGTTGTACTACTTTCAGTACTTACACTGAATTTTACAGTTTTTGTCAGCTCATTTCAAAGATCTGTTTTTTCTGCTTTTGTAATCAGTTTTATCAGTGTACATTAAAAACCTTCTTGTGAAGTACCATTTTCCACATGTTAATCACATAAGGAAGTATTTCAGCTATTCAGGAGATATGATTTGGTGTTACAGAGACAAGATATAGTAGTATCCTTACGATTAGGAAGTGCTATGGTTATTGCAATGCAAACTCCCGTCAGTATTAAGCTCCAGGCTTGACTTTGTCTTCTGCCAATTTTATGCAAACAGTAAAACGTCAACAGTTTGGCCGGTATTTCAATTCCACCATATATGGCCTGGGTGAGATATATGTTCAGACCAAATCCAGTGATATTCAGGCTTATTCCATAATATGTCAGAGCAATCCCAAACCTGTTAGAAACACAGAAAAAAAAGACTGGCAATCTTTTCTTAATTCAGCCCCTACTGATATTTGGAAATATGCGCTCCTATTCAGCCAAATACATACGTGCTGGATCCCTGTATTGGAAACATGACTTTTAATGGATTGTGATGAATATACTGTAGTTTAAGGCGTGTAACTTCACGGTTTGGCACATATGATGCCAAGATGACTCATACCACACAGGCCCGGTGAGCAGTGCCAGCCTTCTCATCCTGGGTGTCCTCACCAGATCCAGGTAAGAGTAATTCTTCTTTGTTGGCTCCACTACCACGGCACTGGAGAGCATCTGAGGAGCACAGCAAGGCGCTTTGAGCAAGGACATTTCATTTCGCCTTTAAAACAAGACAAGAGACTTTCCTACTGCAGGTGCAGGGGGAAAACGAGACTTAAGGAAGGAAGGTTAAGGAAGTATAGGCGCATTTTCAGAGTTTACCTCCAGAGTGAATTTGGAGGAAAACTCCGGCCTGTTGTTCATTTTGGCACCTCTGGACAAGTATCTGTGGGCCTGTTTCATCTTCCCATTGGCTATCAGCCACCTGGCTGATTCTGGGACCCAGCTGAGGAACAGAGACTAGGGGTAACATCCTGTCCGTTGTAAGCATGGACCACAACATGGGTATTAGTCATTATTGTACTCCTGTCTAAATTTTAAAATTACATCAATATACTTACATTGAAATTCCTGTATTGAAAACATTTCTGTCTAGAAAACCTAAGAACATGCATGGTTTTTGACTCCTCCACTTCTGAACTGGGGCAGTGTGGTTCATCTATTTTCCTCACAATCAGATACAACAAGAACATGGTCTATGGGTATATTTCAATACAAATTCCCATAACGTAATCAACATCAGTAAGTAATAAATGTCTACTGCTGAAGCATCTTTAGATTTTCACTGCAAATTCATATCATGGTAGTTTTACTATTTAATTATATTATCATAATGCTGTACTATAATTTCTGTACCTTATTGTAATCTAATTTAGCTAACTGTGAAATTACAGATTTATACTAAGTGAATGATCAAGTTAAGGATACTTCACCGTACAAATTATCATCTGATGTAAGAAGGTAGGTATAAACATATCACCAGAACAAAATCATGTTACGGTTTGTATATACAGATTGATGATCAATAAAGAGGGTGATAGAGTGGCTCTCATTTATTTTGTCACACCAGGTGTTAGTAGTGATAAAATGTAGGAGTCAGTGAATAAAGGAATGGGATGTAAAAACAGAGAAGTGTCACTTATAATAGTTACATGTTCAGTCCAAAGGACAGGACAATCACTAATGTAGCTGCTCATCATGTACTGAGACATTCTACAGGGAGCAAGACAAGCGAAACCGAGATAAAACTCAGAACTTTTACAACTCAGAATATTTCACATTGTCTGTAAAAGTACTGTAGGTTGTAAAATAATTACATACATTACAATAATAAGTATATTATTACTTATTGTCACCAGGCCTTACACAGAAGTAGTGCTGCAGGGCAAGAGCAGTTATATCAGTGGAGTAGGATGTTTATCTCCACATAACCTCGTAACAATGGTCTTAGAACAGTAGGTACTAGAAGGCCCGTTCAAGCTAAGGAATAGTCTGAGTTCCCAGTAGATGAAAACTGCAGAAGCAACAGACCATCCATGTCCTCAGAGCTTGCAAAGATAAGTCTTCAACTCAGCCAGCCCAAGAGCCTGTATTTTATTTCAGAAGCCACTCCCACGGGCCTCTTCAGTGCTTTCGTACATATGTGTTAGTCATACAACCATCTACAAAGATCAGGCCTTCTTCCCATACAAATGCTCACAAAGGAGATTTTTCTCTGTTCTAGGTTTCCTAACTATATATGCATTCTGGCTAGAAAGTTAAACATTGAGAAATTCTTTTTTTACTTACAACCAGGTGAGCATCGCCAGGAAGAGAGGGCAGATAATGACCCCAGTGAGCCATCTCCATTCATTTATAAAATACGCAGTGCCGGCGAGCCACATGGTTCCCAAGGGCCAGGAGAAACCACCTAGCAAACTCACCAATAACCTGTGCTTGACATCCACCCACTCAACATCTGCAACAACATATTCAGAAACAATTGCTCCAAATTGCCATGCTCTCTGGCACTTCATTGTGATCTTTTGCTAGTTTACGGTCACATTTGCACATTTGAAGGTGTTGCGTAAGCACCGAACTGTTTTATACTTTAGCAATTAGTGTGCACTTACACGTGATGGAGCCATTAACATAATCTAAATGTTTTGTTCTTTTGCAATGGACACAACACCAAGCACAAACAAGAGAGCGGAGACAATCAAGGGGAGGAGCCCAGAACAACCATGTTCTTGAAACTGTTGCCCTGGTTTTCTTCAACTAACAGCTGGATGAGATTCTTGGATCAATTAGCTATGAATGGGCTGAATGGACCAAATGTGCTCCCCTTGTTTGTAACCTTCCTACTGTTCTTGATCACAGCAGGATCTGGGCGCTTGGCCTTGTGCATCAGGGGGCCCTGAAGAAGATACTCATGTAAAAGCCTAATAATTACGTCCTGCTGGTCCACTGGTTTTCTAAGCATGTACTGTAGGTGCAGTGATATCTCTGTAACTAGAAATATATTGTTTTCTTCACAGAGTCTGCCATCTTCCCGGAGGCAAAGGATTTCACAAGGAGATAGAAATCGCAGTGAGATTCAGAGGCAAATAAAAAGGACAACAACTCACTCAGGACTGTGGCTATAATGCTTATGCCTGTCAGGCCGAAGCCGGTGCAAAACCTTGTGATGGCAAACATCACATAGGAGGTTGAGAAGGCACTGGTTACTCCAAAAATGGCTGCTATGATGTAGGACACCAAGAGAATGGTCTTTCTGCCATACCTGCAAAAGACATCAGTCAAGGGAATCATCACGCTTGCATTACAGGAACATACCTGTAAGCACTGGGCATTTAGGACCACAGAACAGATTTGTGAAACTGCTTCGTTGTTACGAACAAACGGTCACAGTTGTGAATACACCCTACAATTAAGCTGGTAAACATGTACAAATTTAGAAAAGCTATCAGGGGAAAAATCACCCTTTAAATATTACACAAAATAGCCACATTGTGTTTTTACATATCGTAGAGAGGTTTACTGTGAAGCAGGTACTGGTCAGTACCTGGATGGGAGACCTCCTGGGAAAAACTAAGGCTGCTGCTGGAAGAGGTGTTGGTGGGGCCAGCAGGGGGCGCTCACCCTGCGGTCCATGTGGGTCCTAATGCCCCAGTATAGTGACAGGGACACTATACTGTAAACAAGTGCCGTCTTTCGGATGAGACGTAAAACCGAGGTCCTAACTCTCTGTGGTCATTAAAAATCCCAGGGCGTTTCTCGAAAAGAGTAGGGGTGTTACCCCGGCGTCCTGGCCAAATTTCCCATGCCTCCTAATAATCCCCCTCTATGAATTGGCTACATTACTTTGTTCTCCTCCCCCCCCACCCCCTCCGACGGCAGGCGGAGCAACGCGCCGGTCGGAGTATTTCTCGGTCGCATTTAATGGCAACGTCAAGTCAAAGATTTGGTTCAAACCACCAAATGGAGAAGATTCGTGCCGACAAGTAGACCCTGCTGATGTGGGATTAATGCTAGGATGAGAGAGAGTAGAGAGGTTTTTTTTAATGTTTCTTCTGGTCCCCCCCCACAAAAAAAGAGCCTGGTGAAAAAGAGACCTGTCGCTGAGGATGCCCATCACCACCGCTCCCACCATCACACCTATGAAGAAGATGGTGGCAGTGGCACGATTCAGTCCTCTCCTGCCACAGACCAGGTCCCACTGCAGGGAAAGACAGGAACGCACATTCTGAGTGCAGGCAGCACTGAACACTGACCACATTGATCCTCCCGCGGGGGCAGAAAAATGGAATAACTTGATGCGTCCAGGTGTTTGAAGTGGCCGGGAAACCGTTAAAATCCATACAAACAGCAACAAACTTCTGAAATGATTTTACTGAATTAAGGTCATCTCCTGCTATGTATGTAGCATTTGACAAGCAATGTTTTTCTTTAGATCAGAGTCACTTCTGATATATTCTTTGATATATATACTGTATATATGATATATTCTCTAGGTCGCAAAAAAGATGACTGGAACACATACAATAGGTTTCCTCATGACAGAGGTTAGACAATAGATTCAAATGTACTTTTCAGGATGTAGCACAACTCACAATAAGCGGTATCAATAAATCCTGACCCTGATGTTATACTTTCCCTGCAACTAAGGTGTGGCATGTCAAAGACTGCCAAAATGAAAAACATTTCACTACCTTTCTTGTCAATGACAACAAAAATAAAACTGAATTACAGTAGAACTTGAATTTCAAAGTTAACGACACTGTAAAACGAAAAAAAAAATCACCATATCAGTTAGAAACCTGTCAAATAAATGTGGAGATCAAAGCAAAGAAATATGTTTACATGAAGCAACAACAATTGAAAAGGTTTTGTTTTCTTTACTTGTCCATAAATAGCACAATGTCATAATATTTTAATTTTGGCTTACATGAAGCAGAGTTTGCATTTCAGACTGTTCCTGGTTTCAACTTTTCAGTCTCAATCATATTAATGTACAAGAGCTCAGCTAAAAATAATAAGTATGTTTCTCGTGTCTGAGGTTGGATAATAGATTCTAGGCTTCCTAGATTCTAGATTCTAGGTCCTTCCTGTGGCATACAGCATTGATGAATATATTCATTCGAGACAAATGAAATGCGATTTCTTTGCTAAAGCTCCAACACAGTGTTGAAAAAAACACAGAAAGAGAAATTGTTACCTCTGTAGCTATGGTTGAACGGAAAAGAGTCTTGTCATAAACCCATCCATTCTGGCACTCAACAGAGGCAGAAATATCTGTTTCAATGGAAGAGTTGTGAAGAAGGAGGAACTGTGGTTCGGAGTACATACTGCAGGCGCTGTGAGTCCCATCCGAATCCTTCGGAATGCTAATAGCGATTCTCTGTTCCAGAGTGAGATTCCCAAATTTGTCCTCCTTCCCCACCATGGAGATGTCACAGTGGTGAGAAGGCACAGCTGCGATGAAGTTATTCAGCAGAAAATTGCTCGGCAGAGTGATCAATGGGATATAGAGCAAGCAGAAGAGTGAAATCTGGAACTTGCCAAAGCCATTGATTTCTGTAAGGAGGGTTTCGAAATTCATCCTTGCCCGACAATACGGAGATGGCCTGTGAGTCGTAGCTTCTTCAGAAGAAGTAAACTGGCGGCCATACGCAAGCTAGCGTACAGTACCTCTGATAATCTGTTCTACATAAATTAACTCGCAATGGACTTTGAGATTGTGGGGGTAGTAAATCCCTTCTTTCTCATAAATCTGAAACTACAAAGGTTCTGTATTACTGAAAGGAAAATAAAAGATTAAGAATCGCTTACTGTTCACCTAACAAGTTCTGTCCCAAGTTTGTTTTTATTGCTATATATTAACTACAAGACCTTGGGGTCATAAATCCATTAAAACAAATTTGTCTCGATATAAATATATAGCTTTATCCTGTATATATGCAGTAGAACCCATCTTCTTTGCTATGTTTTCTTCTCTAGTTTGGGGCTGAAAAAGAATAGCTGCCATTAGTGGAGTGTGCTAACTGAAGGCAGATACCACCAATTGGCTGAAATGTAGACTGAGCATTTATGTTCCATGTTTGCCAGAAATTCACCTTCCTGAATGTTAAACTGACAAATAGATAACAATGCTTTGCATTTATATAGAAGTTACATCCAAAAGGATCCCAAAGCATTTTACGTTGTAGGAGATTCACTTCAATCATCCACAGAAGTGTGAAATGGACCTGGGTGACTTACAACAGTTATTCGGCACCAGCAGCTCCACAGTACAGTAGATCAGGGCAGAACTGATGAACTGCTTCACTAATTGAATTATTCTTTCATTAATCGTATAAATCTCTTATCTTATAAATAACATAGGATCCTTAATAATCAAGTACAATGTCTCATTAAAAGGATGGTATCTCTTACAGCATGGTTTCCTTGGTCACCATACTGAGACATTGGTTTGGAAATTCTGGTACACAGGGGAACTCCAGCAGTAGACCAGATGTTCCTTAGAGGCCTCCCATTCCAGGCCAGACCAGGCCCAGCTTTGCTTAGCTTCTGAGATCTAATGAGATCAGGCTGCAAAGAGGCTGCCTTATAAAACTACTGGAGAGTCTCCCCTTGCCCTCTCTGTACCGCTCATTAAAAATCCACCTTCCCCTCATGGTACTTCATGCATTTTTCCATTAACTGATTTAAGTAGATATAAATATTTATGTTCTATCATAACCTTATAACGAATGAAAAGTTAGGAGACACTAGGTATTTTGCTTGCTTCAGAAAATTGTGGCCAAAGGAGAGTCACAGAGTCCTACTTAACCTGACACACGACAAAAGGGAATAAAAATTGTTTGGGAGTAAATGAGTGCATGTGTGCCCTGTGCAGGACTGGCATTTCTCTAGGGTATGGCCAAGACCTTTGCCTATATGGATAGGCGCAAGTTAACTATAATCCACTAAAGCTGGTGCCACAGTAGACTCTGTCTGGATATGGAATTGATCCCAGGGGTAGGGCTGGTATCAGGAGACCTGTGCCCATGTGGAGAGAGGGGCAGCATAAATGTTTCTAGATTCATCTGGTTGGCACCTATGGACTACCACTAGTATTAAAAGCCCCTCTCCTCCAGGTGTCACCAGACCTGAGTTAAATATGGAAGCCCTGCAGAGGTACAGGGAGTCTGGGATAGGGGACACAGAAGACTGCTGCGTACAATATGTACAGTGTGTATTTCTTGCTGTTCCTGTTAAAACAGATGGCTGTTATGGTTTGGACTGCCTGATGGGTCCTTATTCCTTGAATCCCTTAACTCTATGAAGTATTGTTACAAATGCATGTGGACATAAAGTTGCTGAAAGCCTGTACTGGTTGAATTGTAATTGTACTTAATAATCATCTGAAACAACAGCAAATGAAGCCAGCAGCCATATCACCTTGCAGCTCTTAACTGGCAGCCCTCTGAAGCTCAGCAGGTGTGAATCTAATACTTGTGGCTGAATGGGCAGACACATGTACCCAACATCCCTATGCTTCCTCTCTATATTTGAAACCACCTCTGTCAAGTTCATACCACTCATTTTGACAGCAGCCAACTGCAACACCAGGGCTGGCTCCATGCCTTTTGGGACATTTCCTGCGGAATGGGACGTCCTTTCATCCAACTGACCCACTGTGGTGCCAGGTGCTGCTCACGTTGTGATGTTACTCTTTATCAAAACATAAACATGAAGAGCTTGTCCTGGGTAATGTCTTGAATACATTATGGTGGATGACGGAAAGAAGAACAAATGTTGGACAGAACCTGGTTTAATTGTTATGTACAAATAATTAACAGAAAAAGAAAAGGAAACTTTTAATGTGGTGCAAAAGTTTAAAATTATGTAACGCCCTGCACCATGGTTGAATTTAATTTTAAACAGCTGAATGAGATCTAGAAAATGGCAAAATGACCAGAAATAACTGTTTAAACATTTAAACTTCCTTTTCTTAGACAGTTAGATAGTAGTTAAACATAAACTTTAGTATTTAAACATTTTCATTGTAATCTTAGTTATATACTGTAGAAAGAAACATTTCAAGATAATTTCCAGGTGATTTAAGAAGAAAAAGAGCTAAATACAGTATTTAAAAGCACTTACTGCTTAGCACCTTCAATGGATTTAAAGTTGTGAGTTAGTTTCCTGTCTTTATGGATATAGATATATAGCTTTATCCTGTATATATGCAGTAGAACCCATCTTCTTTGCTATGTTTTCTTCTCTAGTTTGGGGCTGTGAAGGTGTTATACATATGT